TAAAGATAAAACATTATTCTTTTCAAACAAAAATACCAATTCATTTTAAGGAGTTTCATAAAATATATACTTTACAGGTCAACAACAAAGGAAAGATCTACCATTTAGAGCTTGTATCTGCTAGCGAAGCTGCCTTCAATATTATTCACAACATACAGTGGCGGTCGTATAATAAAATTAGAAACGCTACCAACGGTCCTTGTAAGATACTTCACCGCAATCGTTTTTATTTTGAAATTAAACAATAAATAGGAAATAGGTCAACAATATGTTCAACGAATTATTATTTATTAGAAAAACAATATAAATCCCACTACACAAGTGCAGTTTCAATATTACATTACGGACAAACATTTAAATCAGTTTTAAGGTACATATTATGAACAATAATGGTCAACTAATTAGAAAAAAAACAACAATAAAGTATAAAAAACAATATTTTTAAGTATGTATTAGTATTGTTATTTACGAAATAGCTACTATCCACAGCCTACCAACAGTTATAATTAATATTTAATGGCGTATCCCTTATTTTCAATAACTGTAACTGATTAAATAAATTTCATACATTTTTCTAGGAGAACTGAATTCCATGCTTCAACAAATGTTTCATATAGTTCGTTTTGACTGATGTTACGTTTGTTTGAGACTTTCTTTTTAACAATATGTTGTATGTTTTTTATATATGTTTATGCTTAAGGTCATTGTCATGCTAAAAGTTCCAGGTTACAGGCAAATGATCGTCCGAGTAGAGAATCATTGTGTGCTCTAAGATATTTCTGTATGCCACATCCGGAAAAACATCGCCAAACTTTAATGTTACCGCCATGCGCCACCGTGACTATATCTTGTGCATTTATAATTAAAAACATTGTTTACAGTACGTCTAACATAACGCTTTCCATCGAAATTTACCATATTTATTTTTGTTTCATCTGAAAATGACACTTTTTTTCCATTCTCGTACCGTCCAATTAACATATTTTTAGCGAATAATAATCGCTTCTCTCTGTGTGGCTTGGTAAGAAGCGGTATCTTACGAGAGGTTCCAAATAATTTAGCTTCCACTAATATTCGGCGTATCAGTGTTGACGAGATGTTTCTCGGGTCATCAGGCGAAAAAACTTCATTTTTAATCTGGTCATTTTTAACCTTTCATTGCGTTTTTTTACCAACACGAATGATTAGCATATTATTATCTTCTTTGGGCGAGGTTATCTTGGCCGAGCCTTTCTAGGAACCTTTTCCGTGTGTTTTATAATAATCAATTGCAAACTTTTTTAACAGGACAATTTAAATGCTCAGATATGTAAATTAACAATTATTTGCTTAGTTGATGTGTTACAACATTTATTTTTGCCAATTTTGAACAAAATAAAATTCAGATTAAATTTTGAATTGCCGCCAAAATAATAGAAAAAGCCAAGAAACGTTATCCTCCAATTTCAAAAAAAGAACGAGCTATGGACGCTTTTTTTAAATGTTTCAAGCGGTCAGTAACAGAAAATAAGCTCCTACATGTGAAAGATTCATTTTATAATTAAAAGTAAGTTAGGTTTTATATTTCATGCATTTAATCAGTTTTTTGAGTTTTAGTGGCTATATTATTGCATGATTAATAATTATTGAATGTGTATAGTATATTGTGCACCAAGGGAGAAAACGTGTTTGCCAATTTTACACGCGGGAGGAAATGTCCAACTTTTTTCCCGCGGTGCACAAACTATTTTTTCTCCTACTAGGCCGAAAGTTCGTGGAGTACCGAGCCGGGGTCCAGGAGCAAATCCCCGGTGGTGTCCAGGGGGCGAAGCCCTGGCGGGGGTAGGGGTGGCGGAGCGCCCCATACTTATAAAAAAAACAATTTATCTGTTTTTTAATTTTTAAATAAACTACTACTAATTAAATAAGAATTGTCTGATGAACTCATCTTTGTTTAATACTTCACTATTAAATTTTATTGCCTTTTGTTTATTTCACTTTTACACTAAACACAATATTGCAAATTACCCGCGCACAACAATGGCGGATAATTTTAGGTGCGTGAGAGCAGACGTAGGCACTAACGCGCATGCGCAATTATACCCAGGGAGAAAAAGTTACACTTTCTTCCCTGTACAGCGGGTGGAAAACCGAACTTTCGGCATAGGTAGGAGACTTTTTTTTTAAAAACATTTTGTACGTTGATGTTATACTTTCTTTATTCATAAGAAGTGTTTCTAATTATATGACCACCACTGTATATACAGTTTTTTACAAGTACAAGTTTTTTCCAATTTTTTTTTTCTTATTTTGGACCAGCACACTGTTTATCCATAAATTACCCATAAATATTAGCCATAAACATCAACAACATAATTGCCGCCACGCACTTTCAGATATGAGTTCGAAGTCTCCGTTTTATAATACAATGGCTGCCCTTTGCATCAAAATGTATTACTGCTTCATGCCAGAAATAGGCAGGGTGGTACCTACCCGTGCAGGCTCATAAGATGCCCTACTGCGAGTAAAATATTTTGAAAATGTTAGTGTGATTCAAGATTTTGAGTAAATTCTATAGTACTATTTTATAGTAGCTATGACACCCTCAAATCTAACCAACACTCCACTATCTCAGTTGTTGACTCTAAGAACTAACAATTATGTTACATTGCATAAAATACAAAATGCCTTTATAAAATTAGAACTTCCAGAAAAACTGAAAACTTAGTGTTACGTGTACTTGCACTTGCTATGTCTGGTACAAGAAACATAATATGATATATATGTTTTTAACCTCTTGAATGACTTCTTAAAAAAATATTATATTACAAGTTAAAAATTAAAAAGTGTATGCATGAACAGTCAATTTCATGCTCACACCTGAATCAGACAGAAATTGCTAAGATCTTATGTAAGCTAAATTTCGAATATGAAATTAAAACAAAAGTACAGAATGATAAGCACACAGTTATAATCAAATTGGGAAAGTTTAAATGGACTTTTCCTCAGAAAAATAAATATGTACATTTATTAAGAAATTCGAAAATTATTTCATAGTATTAAAATTGACAAAACCTAAAATTAAACCTATGTTTCCAATGAAAAAAGATAAAATCTTAAAACTTAAAGTAAGGGTAAAGACAATCTATAAAATATCAGTTTTTTTCTGTAATCGAACCAGAGCAACATGAAGTTGAATTTAAAAAAATAGAAGGTGAACAGCACCTGTTGCGGAATTAATTGTTTTAAATTGCTTGAAAAACACTGAAGTAAGAAAGCTAACAATTATTATTTTATATTATTATTATTATTATTTCCATTCACCCAAAACGAAAATGACTGGAAAAATGCTAAAACAAATCAAACACCGACTGACTAGAATAAATCCTAAAAGAAACCAAACACCGACTGATGTTTATGAGAATTACAGTATTTTCAGTGTAAAACTTATTTCCATGTTACACTTAAAAAAATTAAAAGTCTTTAGTAGTATGCTAACAGTAAATTAACTTTTTCAAACTAAAACAAAGTGAAAGTACTTCAAATATAAAATACTATCAACTCAAAGTAGGTGTTGACATCACTGAGGGAAATAATCAACAGTACATACATAACAAAAAAAACCAACACTCACTTCTCGAAACACTGATTGTTTTCACCACTAATACAATTGTTTCACAAAAACAAATAAGAATAAACACAAAAATTCCCGTTTACAATAAGAATTAAATTCATACACATAAATAGGTATTAAAAACCTAATCTTAGTAGGTAGGTTGGTACCGTACCTATCTATTCTTTTAGGCTAAAATCATAGAGTGTTTATTCATCCGTCTTCGTCGTTCGCGAGGTACAGGGAACATACTTAATAAAGCCATTTCCTTTAGAACAAAACATTCGGACTGTGTCTGTTGTACAAAAATGAAATATAAATACATTTTAAATTGGTTACAGAATGAAATATAAATAAAAGAGATGAATAAGTATTAGATAAGTAAAAATCTTAAGAGAGAAATACGAGAAATGGACCAAAATAATTACAGAGTGGTACCCACGGGATGGCTGTAGAAAAAAAGGAAGACAGCCAAAACGTTAGGAAGATGAAATAAAGAGTGTAGCCGGTCCGCATTGGAGTCGAATGGCCAAAAGTCGAGAATATTGGCAATCTTTAGAGGAGGCCTTTGTCGAGAGACAAGCTGTTTTTAAAACCACACCGAACGCCGAACGGAATAATTGATTATAAGTTGCACTTAAATTTAATTTAATATTAAGTAATGTATTAAGTTAGTAAAACAGCAATGTGTACTGAAAGATAGATAGATAAATGAAAAATGGAGTCAGTGACATTTTATTATCAATTATATATATTTTAAAAGTTCACTTACGCATATCGTGCAATAGACTTAGCTTTGGCATGGCTTGTAGGTACACATTCTACTCAATGGATCTTACTTCTATCTCAACCAATACTGGAAGAGAATTTTGAACGCAATTTTTTAAGCTACATTTCAAAAAAGTTTGTTAATTTTCAGATTACGAAAAAAAAATTGTCGATGTATAGATTACATTTCCTGTACTAATTAGTGCTCAGTACAGTAGTAGTAGCATGGAGTTAATAAGTACCTACAATCTATGAGTAGTAGTGCTAAAGTAATTCAGTGTAATGAGTTTCATTTAAAAAACCATAAACAAAACGCACTTTACGACTAAAAGCATGTGAGCATATAATCTTACTATATGCCTATAACTATGTTTTAAAGTTGACAATCATCCCTAATCATCTCATCTCATTTGATTTGATTTGATTTCATCCCAGTTGATTAATGTTTCAAATTAATCATTTCATTTCATCATTTTTCATATAAATAAGAATTAAAATTAAAATGACATAACTTAAAGGTCTTAGTTACCAGGTCATAAAATTCCTTAAAAAAAAATTCAGTTGATAGTTAACCTTACTCATGGAGTTAATAAGTACCTACAGTAACTCTATGACCTTACTTCACTTGATCTCACCACAAACCACAAACATACCTGTTTCAGTGTTTACATGAAATGTGCAGTAGGTACATACTCAAAACATTCTCTAAGTTGAAATTGGAATATTAGTGTGGTTTGATTTATTAAGAAGAAAGAAATAAACCGTAAATATGAACATATCTATCGAAAGAAAACGATCCGATTGTTCAGCGTTACCCAAAGGCTGGCAAAGAGAGGAAGTAGTTAGAAAAACAGGTCTGTCGGCAGGGAAGGTTGATGTTTATTATTACAGGTAATCATTATGTCAATATAATTATGATTAGTTGTAAAAATTACAAAAAGAAATCACGGATAGATGTAAGAAATTTAAATGTAACCATTTGTTTATATGTTAAAATTATAATTGTTGAAAAATATAGAAACTTATTATTACTAGGGAAAACTATATGCAATTGGAAACAAACTACTAATCTCTTAAATTTCTAACAGCACATCACATTTATCATCATAAGAGGGCTTGAAAACCATAACTGAACCACCACTTTCTGATGACAATATTTTCTGTAGTCCAACAGGTAAAAAGTTTCGCAGTAAGCCAGAGCTTGTTCGTTATCTCGGTGATAGTGTGGACCTGTCGTGTTTCGACTTTCAGCAAGGTCNAATTGGAAACAAACTACTAATCTCTTAAATTTCTAACAGCACATCACATTTATCATCATAAGAGGGCTTGAAAACCATAACTGAACCACCACTTTCTGATGACAATATTTTCTGTAGTCCAACAGGTAAAAAGTTTCGCAGTAAGCCAGAGCTTGTTCGTTATCTCGGTGATAGTGTGGACCTGTCGTGTTTCGACTTTCAGCAAGGTCAGATAAACACAATGTTGCTGTGCAAGGCCAAGAAAGCACGAGCGCAGTTTGACTACAGGTTCCCATTAGTGTCCTAACTTATCTTGTGTTGTGAGTTGTTAGTGCAATTCTGTGCTTTGTGTTTTTCATCTGTAACGCTGTTATGTTCAATAGACGCTTAAATTATAATGTTTACCTTAATACTGGGTCAATTGCCTAGTATTAAGTGGATTATCCATTACCGCAAGTTTGGGTAATTGTAATGTTCATCACTAAAGGTTTCCACAGTTGCACAGCTTCAAAATTGATTGAACTATTACCATTATATCATTTAGTTTAACAAGCTTAGGCTTATTAAAGCTTTGAAATCACTTTACAATCTTCTTGTACAGGTGCGGATCTATGTCTAAACACCACTTATTCATCAACCACTTTAGGCCACAAACATAAAACTCTTAATGGAGTAACAAAATTCCAAATTTTAGATCTGTATCTGAAATATCTTTATCATTTGGCACCAGTAGTTAAACTCTTTACACACTTATATTACAGTAGCTGTTATGTAGCATTATTGTTAATAACATTCTGGCTTAGTGCATCATAATACATTTGTGTCTCATGGTTAAATGTTGTGATGCTGTTGTTTGTGTTTGGTATTTTGGTATTTTTTTTTTTGTTTTTTTTGTTTTTCCGTTTATAATGTTATGTAACTAAGGTTGATGTTCTGCACGGTGAAACATCAACGAATAGCATGAATATAATGTTAACAAATGTTCTCTGCCGCTCTAAAGGAAATTAATTTCAATTATGATACACTGTTGTTTTAACTATTTTGATGGCACAAAAAAGGCAATACAAGATATTTATGTGTCTCTTTTTATTTTATTTATTGCATATGTGGGTAAAAAAGTTAATCTGGTGTTAGGTGGTTACCGGAAGCCTACAGACATCACAATGTAAATCTCAATTATGTAGTATAGCAACTGTCCTAACACTGGAACCAGAACACATTACTGTTTTGTGGTAGAAATGGACAGGCTGGTGGGTAGGTACTGCTTCATGGGTGTGGAGGCTCACAAAATGCCTTACCACCAGTAAGATCCTTTGCAGTTTTGTTACCAAAATAAGAATACATTAGATTAAAGATTTAATCATTTTATTTAAATAGGGGTGTACGTAATGATGCCTCATTAGTGCCACCAATTCGTCAAACAGCATCAATATTCAAACAGCCTGTGACGGTCTACAAAACTCAAGACAGTAAAGTTAAAACAGATCTCAAACATGGGACACAGGAAAAGCCTAAACAATTATTTTGGGAAAAAAGACTAGAGGTAAGACTTCTACTTACTTTTAAACACTTACTAAAAAGTTAACCACTGAGCAAGTTTACCGATAAGAGAAAAAAATTTCAGGGATTGACAGCTTGTGATGCAAATGGTGTAATTGGAACTACGAGTCTACCAAAATACATCAAATCCTTGGGACCATATACTTCTGATGCCACCACTATCCAGTCATTGGCTACAGCACTCCATGTATCTTCACAACCTATTACTGGTAAAAAAAATCTACATATTAGAAACTATTTAGCTGTTTTAAAACTTTACTATCATGTCAAATATCTAGAGTTAAGTAAATACCACAGATCGACATCAACCATCCATAGACATCAACAACGTAAATGCCGCAAGGTGGGTACCCTAAGACTAGATCTGAGTCTCAATACGGTTGCTGCACGCCTCAAATTGAAATGCACTACTGCTTTGCAGGAAAAATAGGCGATGTAGTGGTTACTACCCGTGCAGGGTCACAAGACCCCCTACCACCTGTAATTACGCTAATTATATTTTTACTGCGCGATTCGAATCGCATCTAGCGATGCGACTGTGCTGGTGTGGTGATACGAAGGCACCGGGCTTCTTATCCCGCAGACCACGAGAACTCAAAATTGTTCTGTGATTATTGCAATAAAACATACACGTATGTAAAGTACACAAAGAGTATATGAAAGACGTACATTTATGGTTTTCGATTCGCTCGATGCGAATGCGTGTATCTTATCCTTTAGGACTCGACGAATTGAATGTTTGTAAGGCTAATAGGCACTGTAGGGGACTTCCATTATCTTGTATACTTGAATAATGTTCGATTCTGGGGTTAAAATGAAGCTCGGGATATATCCAGCACATCTGTCAGTACCATTCCATATAGTATAAAATATATATCGATATAATATTAACATTTCGAATTGGTCATTGGTTCTAAATTCAGTGAGTAACATCAAGGAAATAGGTCACTGAAATTTTATAAAACATATTTTTGGACGTAAATCATCACAATTAATTGAATGAATTTGAACTTGAAAATGGGCATTATTACAACTTGACATCCAACAGTCTCATTATGAACAGATATTAGTTTCGTTTTCAGTGATAAATTATTTAATTTGGATACATATTCTAAAATATATTAAAGTTTATAGATGCTTTAGATACTGATAATTTTAGCCTTTAACTGAATTATTATATTTGACAAATTACAGAGTTAACTATACATGACCATCTTTCTCTGGCATATCCAAGGGAATAAAGTTTTAAAAATATAATTTTTTTTATTAAAATATGTAATTATTAATGTAAACCCCACACTTTACTATATCAAAAAGAACCTTTTGAATAACAAGAAAACTTAGTATAATTAAGCATAGGAACTTAAATTTGTAAACTCATTAATGTTACAAACTCTAATTATTTCAGGACAAATAGGATCGAAACAAGCCATAAAAGACAATCCAGGTGTTTTTTTAAACCCAGAACAACCCCTGATTGCTGCTGTGACCATCACTAAGGAAGATGTGCGACGCCAAGAGGAGCGCGTGAAGCGAGCTCGCCAGCGATTGCGACAAGCTTTATCGGTGGCCTAGGGCTGCGACGGCGGCGGTGAACCTAGTGTGGAAACCGCTGCCGACCTTTCTATGTCCGCTATGCTTCCCGACTCTACACAGGACTCCCCCAAGTCCACAGAGTCTAATAGAAATGACTAAAATGGTTTTTACTTTTTGTAAAACCATATTGCAGGATATCGAATTCCACTAAATAAGATGTAATTTCGGATTGAATTAATTGAACTCAATAGTAATGTTACAAGACACAATTTGATGTTGTCTGAACAGATGATAACAAAAACTTCTTGTTAGTCCTCAATAAGTAACAGGAAGTAGTAATTATTGCCTCGTTATTTGGTTAGATACCCTGGATACTGCACCAGGTCCCGATTTGACTCACAACTGGAGTCTGTAATCTCTCTAGATATGGTATTTGGTACCTAAGAGTTCTTGTTTTTTTTGGTATGTGTATAGAACCCTTGGGGCCTCAATGCGAGAAAATAGTGATTTAGGTCCACTGGGAATTTCCACATTTCCTTATTTAGCTATAATTATGTCATTTTAATCATTTTTAAAATGCCAACATTGGTCTCATAACAGAATTGCTATGAAATAATATGGAAACAGTTTTATATCATAATTATCTTACTATCCTATTTAATAAGTTTAAGATTAGATATACAAATCTACTTATCTTTAGACATGGCCTAATTAATTTAAAGAAAATAAATCAGTCTAGCATCGCATGGTCACATTAACAGCAACCACAATGACAGGCTATTGAGTAAAAGTCGTACACAGTTTTTACACATTAATTTATTAAAAGGCAATTGTTGCAATTATTGTGTATTCTATCACTATCTGTAATTGCAAGACAGTTCACAACCATAAATTTTTAAAACAGCTTTTAGGTAAAACTTCTAAATTGCATGAAAATAAGCATAGTCGTATATGCAAAGTGTACACATTTATACGCGGTGGTGTAAAGATACCGATCCCGCAACGGAAACGGAAATAAACTTGAAAACATAGATTTTTTTAAAAAAGATTGTATTACGATGTTTACATTTTGTGAATAACCCCTGATTGCATATTCCGCGTGTTTGCCGATTATAATTGTGTTTATTGACAAAAAATATGGCACAAATTGGGAAAATTCTAATGTTTTTCTTACTTGTAGGCTGCAGAAAAAAAAGTAATATAATTATTATCTAATTTAAAAGATTTTCGGGATCGGTTCCAGTACACCCTTTATAGGTGAGATATAAGGCGTAATTGAAATTCATTAAAGGTAGATTTAAATTTGTACAAAACCTAGTGATTGCAATATTTAAAATGGACGGCGCGAAATGACGGACAAGCAGAATGTCTAAGATATTAAACTTTAGTAATAAATATAGTATTTAAGTCTTGATAACTATATATTTAGTTTTTTATGTGTTAATGTCTTATTTCTATCAATAAAAATAGTGAAAATAAATTAAATTATAATGTTATTTTTTTTAAGTATTTCTCACACTATGACTAGAACAAATGGCTAAATTGTCAAGCTTATGTAATAGGTCTTATGATTATAATTTAAATGGGCATAGCATAGCTTATTATTGGCAGTCTTACTTGGATAATAATAATTTTTAAATACTTTAATTACTCTACCATATCGAGGGGTGAAAGGCTATTTGGTTTGAGTGACATTTTTGCAACATAACAGGAGAGCCATTTAAAGTTTAAAATAAAATAAATAATGTTATAAAAAAAAAATCTTCAACTATTTATTAAATGGAGTAAACTTAATTGCAGTACAATTAAAAATATCGAACTGTATAAGCTAACACCAAATTAAACGCACATTTATGAGTAATTCCAAAGATAAATTTCGCGTATTAAGTAAAATGTCACTTAGACCAAATAACATTTCACTCCTTGATATGTAATTGCATTACTTTGGGAAAAGTATTACAATCTTATATTTGATTTTGATTCATTCAACTATATATATATACCCATGATATGCAATCTATAACTTAAATTTTAACTAAGTAAATTACTTTTATTACAAGGCCACAATAATTATTGTTTAACTTATTGCATAAAGTAAAACATACTTAATGGTTTCTATTATCCAATTCTATCATCCAGTATTAAATTTGGAATAAATAATATGTGTGTACTACCTGAAAGCTCATCTGTTTCTATTTTATAATTTATCATGAGAGCGAAATATAAAATGAAGATTTTTTTTTAAAGTTTACTTGCATGTATTCATTTAAGTGGGTTTAGTGGTTTTCAGACTGCTCTTAAACACCAGAACACAACCCTTTTTGTAAAAAAGGTCATTGTGAAACAATGTTCTGTTAGTATTAAAATAGTATAGAATTAATAGCCTTCTGAATACATTTAAAACAAATATTGAGAATTCAAAATTAACATAAGATTTGCCTACATTTCCTAAGTTATGGTCCCCTATTTAATTTCAAACTTCTTAAGATTGCTTGCTACCTAATCTTTGATTCTTTATGCTGAATAACAGTTTTAATAATTAAACATCTGATATGCTTCTAAACAATCACATAATTGATTCATAAAAGGATATGTTATTTAATATTGTACATTTTCTATGTCCACGGATAAAAATTTGAAAACAATATTGTACCAGCAACAAAGTACCCTATAAAATAATACTGTATCAAGCGAGATTGAAAATCAAGCATTTTTCTTGATATTATAAAAGTTTTCCATTTGCTGTACATGTTGTCTAATCCCTCTAAATTGGCAATAGACAAATGATGTGATGGAATTTTCTTTCCTGTTGTAATTTCACGGAAATGTTCATTAATAGTGTTTTGTTCAGATGTCGGAGTAGGACCAGCATTTAATTTACTTGAACAAATCCAGTACAATACAGGGCTAGCGGAAGCCAGGAGTCTAGTTGTAACTTGAATGTGAACAAAAAAAATACAAAATATAGATAGTAAAAATACATGAACCACATATAAGTAAAGAACAGGATCATTTGCACCAAATCCTTTAGCACACTGTTTTGATCTGCAAGAAATCTTAGTTGAGTAACCACTTAATGAACTGAACTTTAAACCAAGTTTCAAACATAGCTTAAAATTGTTAAAAAAATACACTAAACAATAATAATTTAATAAAATAAGTATAGGAGCAGCAAGAATGAAATTAGGGATTTGCTTTAATTTGTAATATTTAAAAAACCCTACATCCCAATATTGACTTTGAATATAACTGTAGGATAAAGGTATTGAGTAATTACACCAAGGACTCTCAGCTGTACCAGGCAAAACATAGTCTGCATTTATTAAAAATTCAGGTAAATTATGTTCACTAGGTACACAGTATTTAAAATAATTGTAAGTTTGAACCAAAAGAAAAGGTATAATTGCAATTATTATAGTTAAGACCAGTGCCATGAATGATATGAATAAAGGCAACAATAACAAAGGAAGTATTATCCTACACTTTAATGTCTTATATTTGTACACAATTTCAGGAAGTGTTCTTTCAATAACATTCTTAAAACTTGTATAAAATATAAAACCCAAATTTACAATACCATTTGATCTTGTAATCATTGAAAGCCCTGCAGGTATGCCACTCAATATATCAATATTAGCAAACCTTAATGTTTCACTGTCTGTGCATTTCAACATTGTGTAGAATGACATCCAAGCAAATAGTGTCTCAGAATATGGAGCAGAAAAAAATATACTTGCAGGGTTAATGCTATACAATATGACAGACTTATAAGCTCTACATTCACTTTTTAAGATTCTCAAGCTTAATTGATGCAAGATGTCTGCAGACTTCAAAAACAGACAGATGTTAATTATTGTCGCAGATAATAATAAGCAACTATGAAAATTAAGAAATGTTCCAATAGCGCTATTTAGCCCGTAGGCAAAATATCGCACGCTCAAGGGGTAAAACGGATAAAATGCTAAACAATTCTCATACGTGTATCCATACTGAGCAATGTGTATAAAATATTGAGCATCCCATCTTTTAAAACCGCCAAAAAGTTTATCAACTATATTATCTAACCAACTTTTGTACATAGTGGGGTCTTCCGGGCTGACGAAAACCTTAGCGTCGTGATCAGGTATGATGAGATTCGATACAGCTTGCAATAAAATTATTATCATTCTTGAATTAAACGCAAACCACATAAGCTTTTGTCGCGGTGAATACATGATTTCTGCGGAATTAGGAATTAAATTAGGTTTAAATATTACTAATAGTAGTCTAGCACTATAATAAAAAACGTTATTACCTTATCTGTTTGTGGTTAAATCACAAGCACATCGTTTGTGTACGACCGAATTTAAATAATTTAATAAATATGGATTTAAATTTCAAATCGTTCAATGTTGTGTTAAAATTATGAAGACGTTGACATTTAACCAATTAATGACAGTAAGATATGGTAGTTTTTCCAAAATCGCAAACGCAATGGATTGTGAGACAACTGACTCTTTAAATTAAAAAATCGTAATGTTTACAAATTATGTATTACTACTAGGATAGTGGACAAAACAAAAGCTAAAAACCAAAAAAGTATAAAGATTAATTCAGTGGAAAAAGTTCCCGTCGATTAATCAATCTGAAAGTTTTTTAGGATAAAGGCTTAAAAGCATAGATAGTATTTATTAAGTTTAATACACTTATTTTTATTAAAGAAAATATTTACTAATTACTACGGGCGTGTCCTGTCATAGCTATGAACGATAAAGTTATAGAATTCAACTATATAATATCAATTCACGTCAAGTTCTTAACTTAAATAGGTACATAATATATTTTGTCTTTCAATACCCCAATAATAAGTTTGAATTGCTTAATATCTGCTGCTTTTAATTATTTATAATAAAAAGTCTTTCAATACCCCAATAATAAGTTTGAAATGCTTAATATCTGCTGCTTTTCATTATTTATAATAAATAAAAAAAGCATATTAATATTAAAATAGGTAATTTTTAGTAATCAATTCTCATCATTAAATTCTATTTCTGAAACTATTGGCTTGTGGTAACTAAAATAAGACAGGTTCATATGTTTCTGAATTTTGCGATTCTATTTTGTGCAAATTCTTTAAAAACTATTGATGCTCAATAGTAGTACCACATCTCGTTGTCGATTCTTTTGGATTGTTTTTAATGCGCATGCGCGTTGCTTGTACATGAATTCATGATTTTAGAATAATAGGCTTATTACACTTGGCTGAATTCAGACGACTGAATTCAGTCAAGTGTAATAGCATTAAGTAAGTTAGTCTGCTGAATTCAGTAGCAAGGATGGTTTCTGACTGACTGAATCATTTAGAAGCCTAATTAGAAACGCATTTAGGAAGGTGCAATCGCATTTAGTAGATATTAATTATATTATAATAGAATAATTTATTATAATAGATATATAATAGACTATCGTAGGATAGTATCCTGCTTTTTTATAAACGGTGTCACAAGGTTTAATATTAGGTCAAGCGAGATCGAATCCATTTATAGATATTTTTTGAAGTCTGCTGGTTCTAAATCACTAATAATGTTCATATTTGCTAACATTCCGCACAGCAATAAATATTTCTTCACCGATATTCTTGTTTTTATTTTGAGAAATTGAAACAAAAACAAACATTTTGTTGTTGTCTAGACAATACTGGGGCTATCCTCTTACGCACACGACACATCTTACTTCGTCGCGTTTAAACTGACAATTGATTCAGTAACTGAATTTAGAACAGTCGACTAAATTCAGCCAAATGTAATAAGCCTTTAAGCATTGGCGAGGCGGAGTGGGATCAAAAAGAGAAGGGATGAGAGAACAGAAAGAAAGAGGGAAAAAGAGAAAGGTATTATAAACTATTCGCTTTGTATGTATATGACTATAGCATTTCCGTTTTATGTTTTTCTAACGGTCAGTCTCACACTTTTTTTCAGTTCGGTCGCGCAGTAAAATCCCCATTTCCTCAAAACCTGCCGTAAGAAGCTTCGTTCCAATAATATGGTTATTGCCTATCATTTATGTACAAAGCAGTTATTGTCGCTTAGTCACGTTTGCCTTTCAAGCGTCGATATGTATTTAAGACTAATTTGTAATGTATATAAGTAATATGTGAAATGAAACACGGATTCCTTTTTGTATTTATTTATAATAGTTGCATTATGTCACAATTACGTTACACCCAGATTCATTCAAATCAAGACATTTCTAGCAGTCTAGGATACATCACACAGTACATTTCTATTACATTGGCGATACTGGTGGACAGATTTAGAAATATCGTTAATTTACTTTTCTATTGATTTTTTTATTATAAAATAAGGACTTTTACGTGTAGGGAAAGTATGAGAAACTTTTTATTTCTGAATAATTATTATTGGTGTTTTATTTTAACAAAGAAACGAAGTTAATTCTTCAGACTTGTACAATTGAAAATCAATTCGCTACAAAGTACACTACAAGCGAAATTTTATCATATTATGAATGTTTCTGATCATAAATATTAAAATATTTTTAAAGAAATTTTAAAATAAAACAAAGCCTAACCTCTCCAGTCACTTATGAATTTATAATTTAATTAGTTAATTGGTACACAGTTTTTGACAGTTTATATAATTTATTGCAATTTGTTAATATTATATTGCTGAGAAGATACAATTGCTAAGATATTCTAGCTGATTGTTGTGTAACAACTATCTATAACTTCATCATACATACAGTTTACTAAGTTTATTCTATAAAATGCTATGTAGTTTTTATAATACCATATGCATGGTAGTGCAAAAGATTTTTCAGTGGAAAAGCAAACTATTTACATAAACTTATTCTTAATTTGACGTTTCATAACGCAAATCTACTAAAACGTCCGAGTTATTAAAATAATGTAACAAAGAAAATAATTAAACTAATTAATAGAAATAGAAATAAATTTCTATACAAATACAGTTGTAGTGTACAAAATATTGATTTTATATCATCGCTATGTAAAATCAGTGAGTAATGAGTGACTTGTAAACAAAAACTTCCGAATTGTTTACTACCAAAGGAATGAATAAAAATTAAATAAAGACACCTTTTACCTTTATTAAGTCTAATTACTACAGTAACATACCACAATTTTTAACTACTATCAATCAATTTGGGTACTAGTTTGGAATAAATGAAATTAAATTAAAATTTGTATTATGAAGCAAAAAGGGCAAATATTTCATAAAAACGTTTCCCCCAAAACCATTATATTTTAATATAAACTTTTTCATGACCGCTGTCTTTTCAAACACGTTATACTAAAGCAATCATACATTAAAAATGTTGCATCAGAGAAGGAATGTAAATTTGGACATCTGCCTGGACTATTTTAACGCTAAGAAATTGATGACGAATTAGAAATTATTTAAATTTTAACGTTAAATAATGTGACCATAGGTGTAAAAGTCTGAGAACTTTAACAAAAAAAATTATTGTTTTATTCTACAATTTTTAGGTGTCAAAAATATATGTATTAAAATGATAATGCAAAAAACTGAATGATCAACATCTAAATGCAATATTTGTAAAAGACAGTGGCGTTATAGGATGAAACAAACGTTATCGCTTTATCGCTGACAGGGCGCGGTAGTGTTAGCTCATGGAGAGCTGACCAAGCGCCAGTAGCCTCTCCACCGCCGCGTTTACATCCCCAAATGTCGCGATTAGAGCTGCAACAAGCATTCGCGGATTACAACAAGTTAGGTGAAAGCAAACATGTGACAATAAAGAATATAAAAAATCGTTACAAATTATAAATGTGAATGAAATTTTTACATCTTCGGAGATTTTTAAACGTATTTTTGTTGTTTTGATAACACTGAGGATTGTTGATTTGTAATAGATATAACAAAACAAATAGGGTAAGTAAGCAATATAATAAAATAAATACCTATTTAATCAAATTTTTATATAGTCGAATACATTTACTGGCGGTGGGACCTTTTGAGTCCGCACGGGTAGGTACCACCGCCCTACCTATTTCTGCGGTGAAGCAGTAATACGTTTCGGTTTGAAGGGCGGGGCAGCCGTTGTAACTATAATGAGACCTTAGAACTTATATTTCAAGGTGGGTGGCACATTTACGTTGTAGATGTCTATGGGCTCCAGTAACCACTTAACACCAGGTGGGCTGTGAGCTCATCCACCCACCTAAGCAATTAAAAAAACATTTCTTACACAATGCATACAAATAACTTTGCTAGTCAGTAGTATGATGTCCTCGACTTCATGTCTGATGATACGAGGCGGCAGACACGTCGTGATGTTTATAGGCTCTGGTAACCACTTAACACCATGAGAGCCGTAAGATCATTCTCACATCTAAAAAAATGCATTCTTGTGTTGACATCATTACCAACTAGTTTGCTCTCTATTTAGCGTGACGTCAATTATAACTGTAAGCTATTAGGTTTTTTATTATGTTATGAATGTATAAAAAATGATACGACCATTTTGGTTATTTTGACACATGCCAATTGACTCCTCAACTCTTATTAACAAGATACTTATTAAGAAGGAACCAAAAAAATTGTGTTACAACTAAGTATTTGGTCTTGTAAAAGGTAATAGTAATAGTAATTACCTTGTAAATTGGCCTCCCTATTCAGGAAGCCCATGGCAGCCAGTTGCTCCAATTGTTGGGAATAACGTTGCTCAGGGGGCTGCTGTGTGTTCGTCTGGTTGTTCGACATGGCCGACATCATCCGTTGCATAAACTACATAAAAGAAAACTTGGGTCAGTTTTTAATCGACTTCAAAAAAGGAGGAGGTTTTCAATTCGACTATGTTTTTTTAAAATGTTTGTTACCTCATAACTTTTGACTGGGTGAATCGATTTTGATGATTCTTATTTATTAGAAAGCTGACGCTTCCTCGTGTGGTCCCATTTCAAGTTAGTCCAGTTCTGATAGTGGTATCCATGAGAAAACCATACAAGTCTTAAATTTGCATTAAGTACGTGCGCGACAAATAGATGAATAACTTAATATCACGTCAACCGATTTCGATGATTATTGTTTTTAGTGTATATTTTTTGGTTCGGAATATCTTTTTTTCTATTTGAAGTCGGTTTTTGTTAAAGCATGTCTATTTACAATTATTAACATGATTAAGTTATAATGTTTTTGTGGAAAGGAATTCATACATACGTTAAACATAGTTAATTTTACTCTTTAATTATTGTAGCTTTTTTGTATCCTTTCAAGAGATAGATCATCAAATCTAAAATTTTAGTTTATCAGATAAGTAATTACAGTAAGTAATAACGAGAAGACATGAAGGCACATACCTGCGTGAAGAGTTCAGAATTGTTTTGTTGTCGTGCCTGGGCGGGGTTCTGGGCAGCGCTGGGCGGTTGGGCCGGCGGCGTGGCGGCGGCGGCGCCCACGCCCATGCCCAAGTTGTTGACAAGGCTGGGCGCCGCTGTACGCAACTGTTCCATGCCTTGTTGTATTTGTAGCAGAGCATTCAACGCCTGTCCACGTCAAACAAGTTTTATATTTTAGTTAATTTTAAGTTCTAATTTTTTTTTATTGCTTAGATGTGTGGACGAGCTCACAGCCCACCTGGTGTTAAGTGGTTACTGGAGCCCATAGAAATCTACAACGTAAACGCGCCACACACCTTGATATATAAGTTGTAAGGTCTCAGTATAGTTACAACGGCTGCCCCACCCTTCAAACCGAAACGCATTACTGCTTTACCGCAGAAATAGGCAGGGTGGTGGTACCTACCCGTGCGGACTCACAAGAGGTCCTACCACCAGTAATTACGCAACTTATAATTTTGCGGGTTTTGATTTTTATTACACAATGTTATTCCTTCACCATAGATCTCAATCGTGAACATTTGTTAAGTACGTATTTCATTAGAAAAATTTGTACCCGCCTGCGAGATTCGAACACCGGTGCATCGCTAGATACGAATGCACCGGACGTCTTATCCTTTAAGCCATGACGTCTTCTATTCTATTCTATTCTACAGAATACCTTTTTACTTGAATAATTTTTGTGTTTTCGTAAAATGAATGTTACCTGCGGATTAGACATCATCTGTTGCATTTCAGGGTTCTGTAGCTGAGCGAGAAGTTGCGGCATCATTGTGCGGATTTGGTCTTGAAGTTGCGGATTGTTGGCGAACATTGGGTTCTACACAGATTAATATGTGATTTGAAATGTTCTATATAATAAATAAAAAAGTTTGACGATATAGATTTGCTATAATTATATTTATTACCTGATTAATTAGTTGAGATGCCATTTCGGGGTCAGCACTAAGGGCCTGTAACATGGAGTTGGTGTATGGCGCAGAGAGCATAGACTGGACAAGGCGAGGATTTTCTGACATCTGTTGCAGAAGAGATTGCATGCCGGGTGTATTAATGAGGCCGGGACCGGAGCCCGAGCCGGCCGCAGAGGCACTGCCCTGGGAGGCTCCGCCGCCGCCTCCTCCTCCACCACGCTGCCACGGGTTGGGTAGCGGCTGCCTGTTCTCAGATCCTTGCTGCGGGTTTGTGCCGTCTGCTCCGGAACAAACGTTACCATATTTACTAAGCATGGATTTTAAAATTTATATCACATTTATTAATAGGGTTTAGATTTATGGTTTGACATTTTAATTTTATTTTCAGTTAGTATTTGTGTAAAGCCAGTCTCTAAATGATGCAAATAATGTTTCATCAGAAACCACAAATATATGAGTAGGGCTTTCATAATTTCTTACATATCAGCACCACTACTTGCTTACCATTTGGGTATCAGTTTAATAGAGGGATCATTATTAAAATAAAATACAAAGCCAAAATTTAAGGTATGTTTAAAACATTATTTACTAACCAGAATTGTCTACGAGTCCAGAGAAAGGATTCCCTGCCATGCTACTGGCCACATTGAGCATAGGTTCCTGTATGTCCCTGTACATTCTTTGGAGCGCATTGTAACCACCTGGAATGAAGGAAAACCATAAGGCAACATTCTCGAGTTATAATTTTCGCACTGTCGTTATAAGTAGTTCGTTAAAACATAATGTTAGACGTGGTCGCCAACCCTCGTGTGGTCAGTTTTGTCATGACAAAATTCGACACAATCAGGGCATATGACGAGTGCATTAATGATGTTACATTTATTAAAAAAATTATTATATTTTTTTTGGTTTTCGCGCCTTGTGTACTTAATAAAAAACTACATTTGAGTCGACTATTATCAAAGCCGGCAATCTGACTTTTGGACAATGATTGGTAAATCAGAAAAACGAATTATTGACTTTGTATTCCATTGGCAGTCACAAAACTCTTCTGAACGACATCTTAGATAAATAACAGGTTAACTATTAACCTTTATTTAATGCAGGTTTTGAACCGTATTCTTTGAAGGAGACGATTATATTCANGACTTTGTATTCCATTGGCAGTCACAAAACTCTTCTGAACGACATCTTAGATAAATAACAGGTTAACTATTAACCTTTATTTAATGCAGGTTTTGAACCGTATTCTTTGAAGGAGACGATTATATTCAAATCAATCTGTATTGACATATCAATAATTTTTTTTTGTCCAAATGCACAGATTGCCACCTTTGATAATAGACGACTCATTTACGGTTTAATCTCGCATTATTTTATGGCTAGCTTTTATCGACACTATAGAAGGGAAGATTGCCGTTGCAGTACCATCAACGTACGATAGGTTATCGAGTGTAATTTCAATCAAAGTATTTGTTGTAGTCATTGATAATCATAGCTGAAGGTAGCCTAATTTCCATAGTTATTGCAATCCCGCGTATTTTAACGATAAAAAGCTTCCTCCAAATTCTAAACAAAAAGTACGTATATAGAAATTTACATTAAAGTAAAAGACAAAGTTTTCATTTTTATATTAATTAGACTAGCGGCCCGCTCCGGCTCCGCTCGGGTCTTTAACAAAATTTTCAACGATATTTGACGATGTTTTATTTTTTAAATAAAAGAACCGTTATTGCGGCATAACTATAATAGCTGTCGCGACACTTTTCATAAATAATAAAGTTTTCTACAAGTACATTATTTTATTCTATCATAAATAGTTTTCGCAGGGCACGCGATGTAAAGAATATTTTAGGTATTTTTTTGACATTATTGGAGTTTTAGTAAGGATCCCTAATTTTTTTCAAAAAAGATTATAGCCTATGTCACTCGGGAATAGTGTAGCTTCCAAACAGTGAAAGAATTTTTAAAATCGGTTCATAGAGTCGGAGCCTATTCAATACAAACAAACAAACAAATATTTCCTCTTTATAATATTAGAATAGAAGTATAGATTTTATATCAAACATCGGTAACTTACCTGGTATACTTTCGAGATTGGAGAGGGCGCGGTCGTGTGAGCGCATCAACTCTTGCAGCATAGCGGGGTTGCGAGCCAACTCCATAGTTTGACGTAATAATTCAGGATTGTTTAACATATGACTGATTTCTGGATTTCTCTGTAAAATCAAGCAACTATATGTTTATCTTGATTGCAATTTCAACTTGTATTTATTTTGAAATGTGATTACTAGCTGACATAACCAATGGTTTCTTCTTTTCAATAAGTTTCAATATTAGGCTTTCGTTCTATTATGCATACCGGTGATTCTCAATGGGATTTTATAGTATGAATTTTGTTAGAATAAATGAACTGAATTAAGAAAAAAAACTGAGTGCCAAGCTTAACAAGCTCTCAATAGAATAATATGTTTTTTTCCATTTGTTGGCTCTTCATCTATATGCTCGCTAGATTTTGTGTACTTCCAATTTTGTTCTCTGATTCTGTACTCTACGAAGGGTTCGTTTCAAGGCACTTTGGCAATTACAGATCTATACAGCCAAAGATTTATTGTATTGTATGTTTTCAAAGTTAATTTATGAAGTTACTTATGAAGTTAGTAAATTTTTGTTATTATATACTAGTTATTAGTAGTATTTATTACTATATAATAGTACAATTTTAGTAAAAAAAATGACTCACAGACATGAGATCTTGCATTTGTGGGTTGGAGGTGATAAGGCTGCGCATATTCTCAGGATCATTCATCATCTGCTGCACCAATGGATTGTCTAAGACTTGTCTGAGCATATCAGGGTTGGACAGAAGTTCCTGTTGCATTCTAGCCTGTGAATAATATAAGCCTTAGTAGGGTCCAAATTTGTTAATTATACAGTAGGCTTAAGTTTGACTGTTCCTCTATCATTGCTGGTTTATGAGGGACGGCGTAAACTTGCTATTAATAGGGCCGTATGTTCTATTGCATATAAAGCCAGTCTGAATTTAAAAAAAACACAAAAAAAGCAAAACAATCATGCATTTTGGTTATCTTCTCAGTGGGTCGTGTTTTTGATCTGGTGGTAGATTCTGTGAAACACTGTTCTTGCTAGGGCCAGTGTTAGCAAAACCTCCGGTTTGAGCCCCGAGAACTCACCTATAGTCTAGAGCAGGGGTGGGCAAATACTTTAAAGCGCGGGCCAAAATGAAATTTTCAAAATGTCTCCCGGGCCGGAGGACTATACCGCATATGCTTTTTTACCGCATATGCTTTTTTAATGCTGATGTCAACAAAATCTCATAAAAGAGTTTAAAAAAAATTATGTGCGGAATTTTTCAACGGGCCGGATAAAATTAGCAAAAGGGCCGGATCCGGCCCGCGGGCCGGCTTTTGCCCACCCCTGCGCTAGAGTAACACTGATATAGCCTTTCAAGGGTATCAGCATAGGTAGGAAAAAAAAAGGAAATATCCTAATTAAATTGTTACTTGGAATTCTACCTGAAGCTGTCATATGGGTTGCAATAACTGTGCTAGATGGGCTGAGAACCCCAATAAATAGACTAAACGAAAGGCTTGTTAATAATAAAAAATTACAGTTTTACAGTTTATAAATGTAGCTGAATATTTTTCAATATCATATAAAGCAGTCCTGTGATATAAATACCTGGAGATCCATAAAAGTACTCTGACCAAGGCCCAAGCTTTCAAGACCCGCCAGCCCACCCAGCGAGTTTAAACCAAATGGTGTAGCACTGACGTCAGCTAGGAAAATGATATTACAAATGTAGTGGAAATAAATTTCATATTTTTATAATTTTCAATAATCTAACACAAGTGTTATTAAGTAAACAATTGGATTTGTTTCTAGTAAAATAAATCCAAATAATAATAATTTTTATTTGACACAAACATCCAAGTATTTAAATGATTATTATCATCATCATATTAACTATTAGTATTTGGCCAGTCTGGGCGAGAGGATCTGATGTTATAACAGATTGTCTAGTTTATGAGTAGAATAGATGTGTGTGAAATTACTGTTTTACTAATGCTACTGTGGCTTCTAACTGAATGTGTCACAATGATGAATGTGGACATGTTCACCATAAGATGTCTATAGATTCTGGTTACCTTTAACAGCAGGTGTGCCAATTGCTNACTATTAGTATTTGGCCAGTCTGGGCGAGAGGATCTGATGTTATAACAGATTGTCTAGTTTATGAGTAGAATAGATGTGTGTGAAATTACTGTTTTACTAATGCTACTGTGGCTTCTAACTGAATGTGTCACAATGATGAATGTGGACATGTTCACCATAAGATGTCTATAGATTCTGGTTACCTTTAACAGCAGGTGTGCCAATTGCTTATAAGTCATAAATGTTAGATATAGCCATAAACACAAGTATCCCATTAACACCTGACATATCTTTTACAAAAAATTATGTTTATTAGACTAAAACATGTCAGAACAACATATTATACCAAAGTTTCTAGTAAAAGTTAATGCTGAATTATTGTTTTACCTTGATTAACACAATAAAAGCTTTACTTTACAAGTAAGAAATTAATATTTAGTGCAGCAAAATGTAGTATATTTATATTTTCCAAAAGCTTTGTGGACCAAAATAAAGTTTTCAATTTGCCACTGAAGCTAATATGCTGTACGAGCAATTTAATTTTCCTATGACATTTTAAATTAAATATAATACACAAGTTCCCAGTCAAATATCTATTATTTATTTTTATTGCACAGATAGATGGAGGAGCCCCTAGTTTTAAGTGCTTAACAAAGCCCATTGATATCACAATGTAAATGAAACCACTAGACACACAAGGCAAAAGACCAAATTGTCTTAGATAATGACTGTCCTATCCTGCAAACTAATGTGTGCATGCCATGCTGCATTAATAGGCAAATTGGTGGATTCCACCTGAGCAGGTTAACAGTATGCCATATATTTTTCCAAAAAGTTTCTATTTTTTTTCACTTTAAGGATGGATATAATATATGATACATGTAAGTTTCTATTTTTTTTCACTTTAAGGATGGATATAATATATGATACATGTAGTGATAGCTCATATGGCAGAAGAAATTAGATGACATATCAAGCCAGCAAGATTTTCAAGATAAGTTTTCAATAACATTTTGGTTGTGAGTCTACCAAAAATTTTCACTCTCTCATTGAAATCTTCACATTGGAATCTCTAAAATTTACATACATTTTATAGTGTCCATAATTAGTGAATATGATTCTTGTATGTTCCTGCATTAGTTTCCCAAAACAATTAAATATCATCAAATTTACTTGCAAATAGCTAAACTAACTGTATTTCATCATCCAGGTTAATTCGTATGACATATTTTATTGAAATGGACTTGGAACTCGTTAGTCAACACAACTAATGAAAATCCAATCCTAGTTAGTTAATTTACCTGGGGGTCTACGAGCCGCACCCTCCGGTTCTGGTCTTGGAGGAGCTTTAATCACTAGATGCACTGTCAACCCATCTTTGATGTTGTGTTGCTTCAGGGTATCGGCATCATTCATGATTTTCCCGGCGAAAATAAGACATAATTGTTCTGGTTCTGTACTGAATTTTGAAGACAACACTTCTTTGAGCTAAAACGAATGAAAATACTGCGTTTTTATGTGCCGGAATGAAGAAATATATGTCGTCACTGATTGCGTGTCCCATATCAATGTTATTACGCCATGAATGAAGGATTTCACGGCCCCCTACTCACTCTTTTGATATCGGCATCTTCCTCAATTTCAACTTGCTGCTTCTCTTTCGGGGTTTTAACTGTGATCGTAATTTTTTTAGGGTCGTCTTGTCCCTCTGCCATTTTGGCAATTCTAGAATGACTATGTACTTTGGCGGAAAAGTAAAATTTATACGAGAAAGACAAATTGACGAATAGCGTTGACTTGTGTATTGTCTATGGGTCAGTATGACGGCTAACTAGTAGTGCTGCCAGACAACTAAGACCATAAATTTCACAAAAATAGTCGGCATGGTTCTATTTGGAAATTGCTGATTGACCTCTATTTTGATTTGTGAATCTTAAGACCAAGCATGAGAATAAAAACATTTTTGAGTGCACATGCAAGTGTGTGCGTTGAATTAAATAGATCCTAAAAATTATATGCAGATTACCAAAGAAGAACGTACGGTATTTATGTGAGTTAAGTAGGATAGCTCTATCTATAGACAATACACTTAATATTTGCTCTAATAAATGCGCTTTTAGTGCCAACATAATCTTATTTATTTATTTTAGTATTACTCATGGCCCGGAGGCCTTTCCAGTTTCACCAGGACTGGTGGGCGAACAAAGGCTCATCAAGAAGGGATGGGATTTGCAAATAGCTGCCCGAGCACCTCCGAAGGAGACCTAACAAATCAAGAGCAGCTGCTTTGCGAATGAATCTGCTGCCGGATTGGAATCGCAACCCACTGAGAAGATCCGGCAAGAAACTCAGCGTACTGATGTTTAGGTTAGGGTACACGTCGAACTTTATGCCGAGTTTGACGAGTACGGTTACCGGGGTCCCTAAGCCTGGTCCTATTGTTAGAGCTAAAGGCGTCTAATGCAAGGATTATTGGATCTGATGGATCCGTAAAGACGTGTTTAGGACATCGACGGTGACTGGCTCCTGCGTGATCAGGATTCAGAGAGTAGTCAGCGGCGACAACGATAAGGCGATTATCATAACGCATAGACTTATCGAAATACCGTTTCGACGCTGACTTCATGTGTTTCCGGATGGATTCGAGACCCAGGTCATCGTATAGGTCAAGGTTCCTTATGACCCACTCCGACCGTTAACCTGCAAGAGCGGGTTTGTAGGGATTGTCTATGTGTATATCATAGAGGTGTCTATGTGGTTGCGGGCCGCTTGAGCGAACACCACACTAACATAAGTCATGACGTGAACATAAAACTGTCCCTCGATAACCGTTTTATTTTTGCGTAATTAGCGTAATTACTGGTGGTAGTACCTCTTGTGAGTCCGTACGGGTAGGTACTACAGCCCTGCCAATTTCTGCCGTGAAGCAGTAATGCGTTTCGGTTTGAAGGGTGGGGCAGCCGTTGTAATTATACTGAGACCTTAGAACTTATATCTCAAGGTGGGCGGCGGCATTAACGTTGTCGATGTCTATGGACTCCAGTAACCACTTAACACCAGGTGAGCTGTGAGCTCGTCCACTCATGTAATAAATAAATAAAATAGTAAAAAATTTCACAAAAAACAGATAAAGAATGGATGGACTTTAAAAATGCGATAACTTTCGAACGAAAATATTTTGATAAGATCTCGGGTGGATAGCCTTATGAACATATAATATGGATATAGTATGTATAAATTATGTTAGTGATTTAGTGTAGTTAACAAAAAATAGAATTTTATATTTTTGTTATCACGCTAGGTACTATATTATTTTAAGTATTTTCATATCGTGATCAATGTAGAGAAAGTATTTAATTTTTTGTTCGTCAAAGTATGTTGTACGGGGTTACCAATTTACAAATAAGTTTCTATTTCTTCTTCAATGTAAATAAATTACAGACTGAAGAATCGAATACACATTATCAAAAAATGTCTTTTATATATAACATTTTTATTTAACAATTAGACATTATTTAATTTTTTATTGAAAATCTGCGTTAGTTCACCGCCGGTTGGCAGAGTTCCCAGAAGGCTGGCAGCATTTCCACGCTGGATAGCAATGCTAATTCTTTGTGCAAAATACGTACCGGCCTTCTGGTCTCCCGAGGCCTCAAAAAGTTTTTTTTAAGGTCCTTAAAAAAGCTTTTAGCAGATGGGCCCCAGGGGCCCAAAGTTTCCACCCCAAACGGAACAAAAATGAAATCTTTAGAGAGATTTTTTTTTAAGTTAATCGGCAAAAAATATCAAATTGACATATTTTATTTATTAACAACAAATTTTAGACTAGGGTGACTATTTATACTTTCCACTCTGCTAGACATGTCCTTACAGATCCATTCGGTCTACTTTCAATACTGTCGGACGCTATAGATATGAGCAGCTAAAGTATAAGTAACCATACTTTTCGAACTCGCCGAAGAGTTCTATGTTAACCTTAGCCCATAGAATCAACCCGCTGAGTTTCCACCGGATCTTCTCAATGGTCACGATTCAGATTTGGTGACAGATGCCGTGGAGGTGGTTATGTCTTCTTCTTTGAGGGCGCTCGAGCTCTTGTTTAATATATTGTCCTTCCCTTCCTGGTTGGGCACTTGAATATCCGTATCCTATCCTATCCGTCCTAGCCAAGTGGCAAGATCTCCAAGACGAGCTNAGAATCAACCCGCTGAGTTTCCACCGGATCTTCTCAATGGTCACGATTCAGATTTGGTGACAGATGCCGTGGAGGTGGTTATGTCTTCTTCTTTGAGGGCGCTCGAGCTCTTGTTTAATATATTGTCCTTCCCTTCCTGGTTGGGCACTTGAATATCCGTATCCTATCCTATCCGTCCTAGCCAAGTGGCAAGATCTCCAAGACGAGCTGCAGAAATTATCTCTAAAAAATTCGGTTTATCCTTTTCGCAGATTATTACTAAATCCTAAATAGGTACTTAATCTTGCGTTGTCCGACACTGATTTTCTCAATTTATAATTAAAGTTAAATTAAAATTTATTTTTACTTATTTTAGATAAAATACGCATAATATACTTTCCGTGTATAGTTTAATACATTAAGAATTGCCAATTGCAAGGATACCTACCTAATTGTAAGTGGGTTACTTAACTTGATTAAAAATAATTTTTTTTAAATAGTTATAAGTACCTAGCTAATTTTTATTATTTATACATTAGAATCTGTAAAATATTAAATTATACTATGTGTTAAATAGTTTACCTCGTCGGGATACTTATTTCATTAGAAAAGAAAAAAGCTTTTGATTTGACCACTGCCAGATCAGTTAAAAACAAAAAATCAAATTTGTCATGTCACACGGTCGCGTATTTTTTCCTGAAATTTCAACATTAAAAAGTTTTAGATTAACTTTTTATGAAGTAATCCATATTTTTATGTAGTGGATAAATAAATACAAAAAATTACATTTTCTATCAGCCTGTCAGGGACATTTATAGTTTTCTGAATTATGATGCAAAATTAAAGACTTGCATTCAGCAATACCTAATGATATAATAATATCTCTTAGAAATGGAGGTAAGAAAGCCAATTCATCGTAATTACTAATAAATTTAAATCTTTGCAAAGTCAGTGATGATACGGCTACAATTTCAGGAGGAAATTCTGGACTTATTCTCACGAGATGAGAATCTTGAACAACAAAAACAAACTATATCATCGCAAAACAAACCAAAAAAAATTAAAACAAGAGGTTTGTTGCTTTTTGGACCGTAATATCTTAAATATAAAATATAAAATATATAAAGCTGTTATGTTATACTTACAGTAAAAGCTCTTTATTGGCGGGGTATATTTTATGTTCCGTAAATAAGCCGCAAATACAGAACCGCAAATACTGTGACATAGGAACAGTTGTCATAAGGTTTATTTTACTTTTTTATTGGACCATTTGACGACGAGCTTACAACGGATATTCAGTAGGATAAAACGCATTACTGCTTCACAGCAGAAATAGGCAAGGCGGTGGTACCTACCCGTGCGAACTCACAAGACGCCCTACCACCAGTAAAAATATAACGAAAAAATAAGAAATGTTATAAAATATAGATTGATATTATTTATTAATTTCGTAAGCCATAGTACCTACGTACCTAAATGGCACAACATGGTTTACGATAATTTTACGATGGAATGTTTAACGCATGCCTGTCATATGGAAAAGGTTCTTGCGTCTTTAACGAGTTTAAATTAATAAACGAAAAGAGTTAAAATATTTGCAGAATTTATGACTACTGGGTTAGGTTTTCAAATGCTTTAAAGGTTATGGGATCTCAAGGGACTGATGGAAGCCTCTTTAAAATGATACTAATTTCATTTTCATTCAGATGAAAAAATATCAGGTGATCAGCAAACTGATAAAGAGCAAACTGAGAACTTAGTCTCAATGATGCGCAGTTACGATGCTAAATTGTACGGCGAGGATGATACTTCTCAGCCCACGTCACGAGCTGCACCTGTTATTCCGGTCGACGCAATGCGCAAAAAAAAGAAAAGGAAAAGGTATGATTTGTCCTATCAGTGACTATAAAACCCTCAGACACAGCCCACTGAGTTTCTCGCCGGATCTTCTCAGTGGGTCGCGTTTCGGATCTGGTGATAGATTCTGAGAAGCACGGCTCTTGCTAGGGTTCGTGTTAGCAACGTCGTCAGGTTTGAGCTCCGTGAGCTCACCTACTAGTCAAGGTTCCGCTGAAATAGCTTCTCAAGGCTTATCAGCTTAGGTAGGAAAAAAAAACAAAGACTATAAAACTTTAAAAGTATATTTTTTTAAATATCGAGTAGGTATATTCCTATAAAGTCAACAGAATCTGCTTTGATTAAATTAATCAAGCATAACATAACAGATCATAAAGCGAATATCCCATTACGAAACATTATTACTCAACTACAACATAATAATATAGCAGATGCTATCAAATAACTTGAAATAATAAAATACTTACTGATTTTATTTATAAGAATTAAGACATAGACTGGTCCCTTGGTAATCGAGAATTAGGTAACGCTCTTACTACCACACCAAAGTGAACTGTCATTCACATTGAAACACGAAATAACAGTCACAATTACGAAGGAATACAAAACAGATGTCGTCGATTAACCTTTATCATTTCTTTCAATCCGGAAACTCTGAACGTTTTAGAACAAAACTAGGCATGTCCATTAGGTACACTAGCAAACTCGTGCGAGCTCACAACACGTCCCACCGCCAATAACTGATGATAAGAATTAATGGCAGAGTTAAGTAGAGGGAAATAAGTAGACGGGCACTACTGATATGGAAGAATGATAGGGAAAGAAGTTATGGTAGATTCTGTTTTTAGCTCGACTGATTTTTCCATCTGAAATCCTATTGTTTGCATCCACGTTTGATCACCTTTTTTTTTGCTTACGTAGTTGGACGAGCTCACAGCCCACCTGGTGTTAAGTAATTACTGGAGTCCATAGACATCTACAACGTAAACGTGCCACCCACCTTGAGATACAAGTTCTAAGGTCTCAGTATACATAATTACAACGGCTGCCCCACCCTTAACACCGAAACGCATTACTGCTTCACGGCAGAAATAGGCAGGGCGCTGGTACCTACCCGCACGGACTCATAAGTGGTCCTATCACCAGTAATACCTCTTTAGTTCAGTAATCAATGTATCTGGTTTAAAACCCGGGTTGGGATCCACCTTTATCTATTAAAGATATTTGATATTCGGTACCTGAACTTAGAACTGCTTAGAATCCTAAAGATAAGAGGTTAGAAGTCGTTGTGGCCTAACGGATAAGACGTTCGGTGCATTCGTGTTGAAGCGATGCACCGGTGTTCGAATCCCGCAGGCGGGTACAAATTTTTGTAATGAAATACGTACTCAACAAATGTTCACGATTGACTTCCACGGTGAAGTAATAACATCGTGTAATAAAAATCAAACCCGCAAAAATTATAATTTGCGTAGTCATTGGTGGTAGGACCTCTTGGGAGTCCGCACGGGTAGGTACCACCACCCCGCTTATTTCCGCCGTGAAGCAGTAATGCGTTTCGGTTCGAAGGGTGCGGTAGCCGTTGTAACTATACCTGAGATCTTAGAACTTATATCTCGAGGTGGGTGGCGCATTTACGTTGTGGATGTCTATGGGCTCCAGTAACCACTTAACACCGGGTGGGCTGTGAGCTCGTCCATCCATCTAAGCAATAAAAAAAAAAAAAAGAAGATAAACCTTTTAACTTTAACATGGCTATTAGCAACATAAAGTTTACCGCGTAGAAGTTTTCAATTCGTTTACTAGTTGAGAGTATTCAGGTTTTGCTAGTAAATAATAATGGTTCTGCGGTGGTTCCATAGATCACAAATAACAATTTGTCTTGCAAATTGCCGATATGAATCAATAAGAAAGGTCGCCAGTGCGTTCGGTATGAGGGAGGTTTCCGAAGAAGACGCTTGGAATTTCTATTGGACTGATATGAGTGTGTCTGTCGAAAGGGCGAAGGAAATGAAAAGGTTTCAGCGCATAAATCATTATCCGGGAATGCTTGAGATCTGCAGGTACCTTAACTCAAAATGAAAAATAAACTAATCCAAATGTTGCTACTATATGCATAGTGAACAGATTTATTTTATGTGCAATTTTATTTTCAGAAAAGATCTTCTAGCTCGCAATTTGAACAGGATGCAGAAAATTTATCCGAAGGATTATAATTTCTTTCCCAAAACTTGGTGTCTTCCTGCAGAGTAAATCGTATAACATAACATTTTATAGTTGTTTCGGAGATTTCCATGAATCGTAGATATAATCAGTATTGACGGCACGTCCACACTTTTCTGTTAATTTTTTGCATTCATGTAATTATGTTCTTGCAGCTTCGGGGAAGCTCTGAATTACAGCAAAACGCGTAAAAATAAAACTTTTATAATAAAACCGGAGTGCGGGAGTCAAGGACGTGGTATTTATTTAACAAAATCTTTGAAAGACATCAAACCTTCCGACAAACTTATTTGTCAGGTATGAAATATAAAATAAGCGGTATATCTACTACGCTAACATTACATTTTTTTATTGTATGGTACAGCGCGGCGTTGTGTTGTATGTTACAGGTATATCTATCAAAACCATTTCTGGTCGATGGTTACAAGTTTGACATACGAGTATACACTCTCATTACGTCGTGTGACCCATTAAGAATATTTGTCTACAACGAAGGACTAGTCAGGTGAACTTAAACAGGGTTCTCTCATCAGGTCGCTGGTCGAAAAACACCACTTTCTCTTGAGAAATTGTCATTTATTATTATACCTTTTCTATTTGTCTAGATTCGCAACGAGCAGATACGCCGATCCGAACGCCAATAATACTACTAATGTATTCATGCACCTAACAAACTACGCCCTGAACAAACACAGCAGAACCTACGTGTATGACTCTGAAGCGGGCAGCAAACGGTACTTTGTGCATTTAGAATTTTATCACGGTCAATATAATGATGATATGTTCATCATGAGCATATTTCCTCGATGATTTATTTATTTCAGTCTTCTTACAAACTAACAGTTGAACCAAATTATTTGTAAGGTATTAATGGTAACATAAGTAGCTTCTAGCAACGCTGAAGCCATGTTACATACCGTGACATTGTCTTTGGTATGTTTGTGCGATTTTGTGACGGAACTTCTATTTTATACGTAGCCCCCATAGCTCTCCACACATTTGAAGCTTTAGTTACATATTTTTAACGTTCATTTTTAATTTAGTTTTCGTTCTGCTTACAACTTAAATTAATCTACCCATATACCTACCTACAGTTTTAAAATGTTCGTTTTTAATTCACCGTTAATTTAATTAATTTAATTAAATAAACCGGAACTTACAATTGAGTTCATTACGTGTGCAAGTACCAAATCAAAGCATAATTTCAACTTTCTCGTATGAACTGTGTGCGAACGCGGAACAAACAGACTAGAGAATCATGTTCTTTGCTTATCTTTGAAAGCAATAAATAAATTTAATTCATCTCCTCCATGTTTTTATCGTAGTCTATAACAAAGAGTGTCGACAGTTGTAAACACACGTGTTGGGAACCTCGCTCGTCTACTGCCTACTTCTACCCCGAAGTACTTATGTTTTCCAGTATAACAGTACATAGATATAGTCTCGATCGATAGTACCTACTCGTAAGGGTTTACAATACGCTCCAATACTAGCAGATGCCGATTGTCGATCGCAATACGCTGGCGTACCTGCTCTAAGAAGGCCTGCCCGTTCCCGTTACCGTCTGCCGTTGCCCATTCCCCTTGTGAGCGTCTTTTACGACACGGAAGCGAAGTGATGGGCTAGTGCTATTCTAGGACGTGACGTAAATGGACGTAACTGACGTAACTAGGACGTAACTGGTGGTAGGACGACATGTGAGTCCGCACGCTACGCTGCCTATTTCTGCCGTGAAGTAGTAATGCGTTTCGGGTGGGGCACCCGTTGTAACTATACTGCGACCTGAGAACTCATATCTCAAGGCAGGCGGCACTTACGTTGTAGATGTCTATGGGTTCCGGTAACCACCGGCCGTGAGCTCGTCCACTCACATAAGCAATAAAAAAAACAAAAAAAAACGTGACCATATAAATATGGGTTAATAATTAATTTAATGCTTTAACATTTACCAGCAAGATCTCAACATTGAACAAGATCCTGTTATCTCAAGGCGTTGATCTCGATAAGCTGTGGCATTCGATAGACGAGGTCATCGTGAAGACGATAATTTCCGCGTGGCCTATCTTGAAGCACAGTTACCACGCATGTTTCCCCTCGCACGATATGGTTAACTTAAATGCTCATTTCATTTTTTTGCTTTTTATTGTGTAAACGGTTAATGAACATCTTTATTGTTAGTTTTGTTTTCCTAGAAGCTGTTTTAGCCTAAAGGATATGACGCCCGGTTCACTCATATCAAGCGATACGATGGTACCGATGTTCGAATTCAGGTAGCAGGTATAAATTTTTCTAATGAAAGACGTACTTAACACGTGTTCAGAAATTGACTTCCACGATGAAAGACGATGTGCAATAAAAATAAAAAATGTTAAAAAAAAAATTGCGTAGTTAATGGTGGTCTTATGAGCCCGCACGGTTCGGTACTACCGTCCTGCCTATTTGCGCTACGAAGTAGCAATGCATTCCGGAATCGAAGGATGAGAGCCGTTAAACTATACAATTGAGATTTCGACTTCATTGCTCAGGGTGGGTGAAGACATTCACGCTGTGATCTCTGTGAGCTCCGGTAACCACTTAATGCCAGGTGGGCCGGGAGTTCGTTTACTCGACAAGAAAATAATTAAATATATTATTTGTAGCGTATTCTTACTACTTCTAGCTATGAGATTCTTAAAAATATATTTACATATATTTCATATAAATTCTTATACCATAAAATATGTTGTATGAGGTACATATTTTAAATTTACCCTTACAGGTGCACGCTTGTTTTGAAATATTAGGTTTTGATATTCTTCTGGATCACAAACTTCATCCGTATATCTTGGAAGTAAGTTTATTTATTTATTTATTACTCTTCATGTAAAATGTATATTGGCGGACTTAGGCATTCTCTACCAGTCAACCAAAGGTAGTGCGGAGTAAATAGTAGTTTAATAGAATAAAGTTTCTGTAGATTACATATAAAATACGTATGTTTAGGTAAATTATATGTCGAATTCTGGTTTGTTAATTTCAAATTGATACACGGTGGTGACACACATGTTAAGTAGGCAGAATCAATGACCCTGATCTCTTGAATGGTATAGAATCTAATCTACAGAGGGACTCTTGCTCTCCATCCAAACAGCACTTTAGATGGAGAGCAATGAGCAAAATGAACCTTCAAGCTCACTGATCACTTGATGTTAAGTGTAGTAAGTCATTCATTTTATTTCTAACCGGAATTCAAAAATCCTTCAAGCCAGCAATATATACCTATATATATATTTTCTTTTTTTTTTGCTTAGATGGGTGGACGAGCTCACAGCCCACCTGGTGTTAAGTGGTTACTGGAGCCCATAGACATCCACAACGTAAATGCGCCACCCACCTTGAGATATAACTTCTAAGGTCTCAGTATAGTTAAAACGGCTGCCCCACCCTTCAAACCGAAACGCATTACTGCTTCACGGCAGAAATAGGCGGGGCGGTGGTACCCACCCGCGCGGACTCATAAGAGGTCCTACCACCAGTAAAGTATATGCATAGTAGCGGTACCTTTTTTGAATTACCTAACCATTCAAGCTCTCAGCCTCCATCACCAGTAAATATTGACTTTAGACTCAAATAATTGCAATTAGCAAGTTACGTTTCAGGTAAACCATTCGCCTAGTTTTCATACTGATACGCAATTAGACCGAGAAGTGAAGGAAAATCTACTCACGGACACATTCACTATGCTCAATATTTGGCAGTGCGACAAGAAACGCGTTCTCGAAGAGGATCGAAAACGTATAAGGGATCGATTGTTGCAAACGAATAAGTAAATACTGAATTACGCTTTGTACTGAAATTAACGTGATAAGTTAATTAAATTTACCAATATTAATGTAATATGCAGATATGCGGAAACCACAACGATCGATGAAAAAGATCGGGAAAAAACTCCTTGGCAAACTCAGATCCAGTGGGAAGAATCGCACCTCGGCAATTTTAGGTAATGTAATATGAATGTAAGTGAGGTAGGAGCTCATCTCACCTAATTTCAATCAATCAACCAATGGCCCCTTTCTCCTGAACTTTTAGAACTGTTGGTTTAATTAGGTATGTGCACATAGGCCGCCTCTAACTTCTTCCATTGTTATCTCTCTCTAGCAACCCTCTTCGAATTGGGATCGGCTGTAAACATTGTCTATCTCATTGTCCCATTTTATCCCGGGTCTTCCTCTATTATTTTTACCGTCTCATTTTACCACTCAGTCTTGCAATATTCGCAAAGGCCAATCCACTAAAGAGATCAGCAGAAGAATAGCTGGCACTTGTGTTTTATTTAAATAAAGATAAGGTTCATGTTTGTAGACGAGTTTATCCAGTGGGAGAGCAATACGCCTCGCTGTTCCAACAGCCGTCTGGTTCTTTGTACACCGGCACGGCGTCGTCGCGAGCTCGCGGTGACTGTACGCGGATACAGCGAGAGGAATTCCAAGTACGCTTTCAGTTCAAACGAACGCTTTTATCTATACCAGGGGCTCCCAAACTAATTTTGTCTACTGCCCACTTTGAGAATAAATTATTTGTCAGCACCCCTATTTTTTCACCTACTTAAAAACCAAAATAGAGAGAGCTCAGTCGATGAAGAGTCCTTCTAGATGAAATTACAAATCGCCTTCCAAGCCTCTACACAACCCCCCTTTTTTTGGGTCTCTTACCGCCCCCCTTTAGGCCTGCAGCGCCCACAAGGGGGCGTTATCGCCCACTTTGGGAAAGGCTGACCTATACAGTATGTTTATGTTAATGAATAATTTGTTTGTTGAATCATAAAAACGTTTAGCAATCGAAAGCTAAAGCGGAGGCCCTGAAAAAACCGTCTCAACCGAAGCCCAAGGAATCGGAAAGTAAAGCTGGCGATGAATCTAGTATCACGGCGTCAACTTCGGTTGCGACACCCAGTACTGAAAAATCAAAAGTTAAAACAAAAGAAAAGGATAAGAGGAAAGAGATAGGGAAAGACAGTGAAGAAGACAAAATTATGGCAACGAGAATACAGTCCAAACAGCCGGTATGTACACAGTACCTACTATTTGTGTTTCATTCGATTACGCTTCCTGAAATTTACCATAAATATGTAGGAATAACGAAATTATGATTATATTGATTAAACACGTCATTTTTATCTATTTTTCTAAAATATCCAAAATGTAATGTACCTCTTCCGAATAATTCCGTAAGCTCTGAGTATTTTATTAGACTATGGGTCTGTGTGTGTGTGACTATAGGTATGTTTTTTTATCCAAAATGTATTGATAACTATTTGTAAAAAAATCACATTATTTGCAGATACCAGAAGAGTCCAAGCCTCAATATGTCCTCTGTTCCTTTGAACCAGATCCAATAGTTGAAAAAGATGAACGCGAACGAGTAAACTTACTGGCACAACGTGATTTTCTTATTAGAAGCTATGGAATGTTGGAACAAGTAAGGCTTAATATTACTTAGATATTTAACGAGATAGAACTACTGTTAAAGGCACGCATTCTTCTAGATCTATTTGATGATGAAGAAAATTGGCACTTTAAGACCGGAAGACGAAAGGAAATATGGTGTCTATGGGCGACTGTCTCTTATTTCTGCCTCACCAAAGGTAAGTAGCATCCTTATTTATTTATTTTTATATTTAAATAAACAAACCGAAATATCAATGTTACTCAGAAAATGTGCACAAACTACTTCCTAAATTTTCGTAATTAATCGTTCGTAAAGTTTATTAAAACAATCGAATCGAAATACACGCGATATTTTATATCCCTCCTCCTCAAGTCGTGCTCCTCATGTCTGAGGAGCACCTCCATCTACGCCTTTTGTCCTCACGATGTTGCCATCTCATCTCATCCTGTCTTCAGCTACTCAAAGCATCGCAGACGATTGAATCAAGAATGATGCAAATCTGGTCAGACCATTCAAACCTTTAATATAAATCCAGGAGTTTTAAAATATACAGATACCGAATGGCCCACCCACCGCCCACGTGGTTTAGGATAACGTTATTTTTGTGTTTGTCTCCAGAAAATGTGAATATAAAGAAGCGAATCGAAATGTTTAGAAAAAATAAAATAAAAAAATAATGGAAACCAAATTTTGTGTACCTACAGACCGACACGAAGAACGCCAAGACGCAAAAGTTAAAGAGGGCTTGCAATAGAAATAAATCAGATAAAGGTAAACTTTAACAAATACTCACTAACGATTGTCTTTTGAATAAAACAAACCACTAAACCTTTTTTTTATTACTTTAAATGAGTGGACGAGGACGAGCCAACCTGACTTGAAGTGGTTACCAAAATCCATAGACACGTATAACGTTAATGGCGCCCACCTTGAGTTTATTTCTCAGCTTTACAGTTTTTTTCCCTACATATGCTGATAGCCTTAAAAGGCTATTTCAGCTTCGCCCTAACGTGTAGGTGAGCTCACGGGGCTCAAACCGGAGTGTTGCTAACACTGGCCCTAGCAAGAGCAGTGCTTCGCAGAATCTACCACCGGATCGGAAACGCGACCCACTGAGAAGATCCGGCGAGAAGCTCAGTGGGCTGTGTCTGAGGGTTAATTTTACAGAACGGCTGTCTCACCCTTCAAATCGAAACGGGTGATTGCTTCCCGACAGAATTAGGGAGGAGTAGTCCCCTCGTATACTCATACAAGGCAAGACAAGGAAACTCAGAACACAATAGACGTTAAATATAATACTACAAAGATTTAGGAAAATCATTATTTTTTTTCAGATTTGGAGTTCCACCACCCAAACGGGAATCGTTGTATACCTAACACTGAATACTTTGATACGATCACCAGAACCCAGCTGTGCGCGCAACTAACGTTATTAATTAGGAAATGACTGTTTAAATTGATAAATATTGAATTTACTTACTTTCCTAAAATACGCATTAAATTTGAAATTACCTTTTTTTATTCATTTCTCATTCGTGGACTTGTGCAAAGCCTTTTTAATGTAGATATTTCTTGGCTGGAGTTTTGTCCCGCGATAAATAGTAAGCTTCTTGTCGTCAAAAGTAAAAAATCAAATCTATTTTTTTAAAAAACCTTTAAAAGGTAACACTCCCTTTTTTGGGGAGTCGGTTTCAACAATTTTTATTGTGGATTTAAATCTTTGTTGACAGAGTTTTATGTGATTTGATGTTTACAGAACGAGTCAATTCTCATCTCACCGACTTAAATCTTAAATTTAAATTTCACCTCATAACATTGCCGAGAAAATAACCAGTGGACCTGTTTTTCTGAAAAAATAATAATTGGATTAATAAAATAAATCAAACAAAAAAAGATCAATGATATATATTTTATAACTTAAAAGTCGATGCTCCAACATTTAACTCTTAGTTGTGTTACATTAAAACAACTGTTCTAATTTTTTTTAATGATAACGAATAGTTTTAAAATGTCAAAAAAATGTTTCATTTGACTTTTTAAATAATTATTTTTAATAAAGCTTCAAGCTTTACCCATGTTCCCTTCAATGTCATATTCACAAAATTGTTTTATATAAAAATGGATTTGTTACTAAGTTCGAAATTAATGTATTATATTAAAGTATTATTTAACTTGTCATGTTATTCGACAAAGTGACTTGTATTCAACTAATTCATTTAAAAATATCAGACTTGCTCCATTGTTAGTCTACAAGACTATTTACAGTATTCAGTATAATTAGCTTACCGACGACCCTAAAATGTTTAGAGATGTGTTTAAAATAATGCAAATTATAAGAGAACATCAGTCAATGAGCTTTATTAATCTTACCAAAATGTATTTAAATTCGACGTAAATGCACATGCTATGAGCACGTGACCTAAGAACTTAGAACTTAATATTTGTAAAATTTAATCAACTTGTAAGGTTGCCAAATATTTGCATTCACGGCAAATGCACTTTTACTTAATTGATATTATTTTACATTACTTTACGCAGCGTACCACGTGGGTGCAAAATTTGTTTGTTGAATAATATCCTCCGAAAACGATTTAACAAGCTTGTATATTGCAACACTAAAAAAATATATATGCTTTATTATTATTTATAATTTATATTAAATGCATCTTTATAGCGTTCTTATAAAACATTAAAATTTGTTTTGTTATTATATCGCTTTATTATACATAGGGATCGTCGCTATTATTAATTATTATATTTTTAAAAAGATCAGTCAACTTTTTTACTCTTAGTCAACGACAACCTTTTAATAAAACATTCCAAGTGGTTCAATTATGACAAAGTCAACCATACATCTTTTATTTGTCTAAATTGCACTTAAATTATTGTACTAAATTGGAATAACATTAAAATTGTAGTCTTTTCGCTAGTGAGCCTCCATCAATGTTGTCCAGGAGTTTTCTTTTCAAAGACGGCTTTTCCACCTCTAGTTTTGAAATATTCGAAGGCATCGGTAACTTAGGGCCGACCGATGGCGCCGGTTTACTACTGCAATAGGCATAGAACTATTTAATTTTACAAACATCTAAGCCAATAGGAATTTATCAGTACAGGGCACGTGATTAATAAAATATTTCATAAATTTTAATTAGAATTTGGAAAAGTCATTGTCGTATAAAAAAAACATATCGATCAGTTGTAGGTACTGTCATTTATAATAATTATATGCATAAGTGAATGCACGTGAATGTCTCTTCAGGGTATTTTTACGTAAAGTGGACGGTGTTCAAAATTATTTCGTTACATTACTTATATATTTTACAGTTAATTATATACGTTAGTTTTATTTCAATAGGTTGGCAGCCCACAAGTGATTGCCGGAACCCACAGGTGTGACCCATCTCGCGACATGAAGACATACTAAAATATATTACATTTCGACTGTTGCACCCTCTAAACCAGAACGAGTTATGGATTAAAGAGTGCTTCACACATACATAAATAGGCAAGACGTAGGTAAAGATTCTTGCGAGCGATTTTCCTACCATCAATGATCACAAACATATATATATATAAAAGCGGATTTTGATTACCTACACGAAATTTTTCCTCTTCTGTATCCTGAAGTTTTTCCTGAACTCGTTACAGCGATATATATTTTATTCGTTTGGAAAACTTGGAAACTGTTGTTGGTATGAACCCTATCATATTCGCATCAAGCGATACGAATACTGACCGAAATACCTAAGTTATTTTTTTGCCTGCTGTATAGTACTTATTTATCAATGAAAATAGCTTACCTAAAATACGCCATTTGCAAGGCCTGCGTGCAATCACATCGATTTGGCGGGTACAGAGCTAAAAGGCTCTCCAATAAAAATATAAGATCTTCAGACGCCGCACTAAATATATGCCGTAGTTCTTGAGCGGGAAACAGCTTGAATTGCACATAATCTGTGAGAGTCTTCATACCCTGGAATAAGAGCGAGGAGTTTTCTATAGTGATCTCTCTGTAAACTATGAACCTACCTATCCTACTAATTGTGATTTTTTTAACAAGTTTAACGTGATCTACATTAGCGATATCGCGTTTTAACTTGATATGCGTATTATCCTGTATACCCTGCATACACAGCTAAAACAGTTCTAAATGTTTTCCGACTTCATTACAGCGATCTCACTGTCACAAGAGATATCAAACACACATTAAACTCTGTGTTAGGTCTAGATGGAAAAAGCAGCTACATCGGATTTTGTCTGAACTAAGCAGTAGGTGAGTAATAAAAAAATACTAAAACATAGACAATGCTTAATCTGTTTATAGTCTTAAATAATCAACAAACAGTACTTACAGGCCAGTTTTCTTCTGTTGGTGTTCCGAACACTTGGAATATCCTGGAGAGCTGATCTAAGTCTGATTCGCCAGGTAAAAATGGAACTCTTAAAAGCAATTCTGCTAAAATACATCCAACAGCCCACATATCCACACCCGTTCCATACTGCCTCGCTCCAAATAGTAGTTCTGGAGCTCTGAAATTAAAGGACCTCGTGAGTCTGCGCGGGTAGGTACCACCGCCCCGCCTATTTCTGCCGTGAAGCAGTAATGCGTTTCGGTTTGAAGGGTGGGGCAGCCGTTGTAACTATACTTGAGACCTTACAGCTTACATCTCAAGGTGGGTGGCGCATTTACGTCGTAGATGTCTATGAGCTCCAGTAACCACTTAACACCAGGTGGGCTGTGAGCTCGTCCACCCATCTAGCAATAAAAAAAAAGTGTATTCCATTTACAGTTTCAGACCACGATCATAGCACATTAGATTTATTGAGGTTTGCATTCGAAGGAAACGTCCGTGGCCTAGTATACAAGACGCCCGTTTTATTCATACCGTGTGATATGACTAAGCCAGGATTTAAATCTTAAGACTGCCCCTACCAATTTTTTTCAAACATCAAACACGGTCTTAATTAATGAATGACTTTCACTAATAATATGAATAAATCAGGAATTTATTCATTTGCATAATTGTTTTTGGTATTGAGCGCCGATAATTATTATATATATATATATTATAAACGGCCGTCTGGTGTAGTGGTAAGTGACATGGTCACTACACAAGGGGGTTGCGGGTTCGAATCCCGCCAAGGGAAGATATTTGTATGATAAATATAAATGTCTTTTCCAGGGTTATGGATGTATATTAAATATATGTATGTGTATAATAAAAATCTTACATTTATTTCCGTTATCTGGCACCTGTAACACAAGTTCTTTACGAACTTATCACGGGACCAGTTAACGTGGCGTGATTGTTTTAAAGAAAAAAAAAAAAGAAAAAAAAAAATTACCAACATCAGTTCACCATTCTCATTCCCGTCTCGATGCCATAACTAGTTCCAGTTTAAAACAAAAAAGACAATCGTTTGAAAAATAAATAAATAAAAGTAATCGAAAGTTGATCATGGAAATAAAATCCAGAATCGATAATAATAGAATAGTGGACTCAAAGGAATTGTAATCGTCATGTTGTAAATCGCCATACCTATACCATCTCGTAACAACTTGATGTGTGTTTATTCTTGTCGGTGATCCAAAAGCCTTGGCTAAACCAAAGTCACCAATTTTCAAAATACCTTCTCTATTTATTAGCAAATTATTAGGTTTTAAGTCCCTGTGTAATATCCAATTCTGATGTAAATATTCTAAGCCTGAAAAAAAATCTGTAATAAATAATTTGTTAAAAACAAAGGTTCAGTACCTATTTTAGTTTTAGTTTCCAGAATTGTCATATTACAGGTTAATCTTTTTTTCTTTTCTTTCCTACCTAAGCTGATGGTCTTGAGAGACCATATCAGCGTCACCGGGCGAGTAGGTGAGCTCACGGGGCTCAAACCTGATGTTGTTACTAACACGAGCCCTAGCAAGAGCCGTGCTTCGCAGAATTTACCACTGGATCGGAAACGGGCCCCACTGAAAAGATCCGGCGAGAAACTCAGTGGGCTATGTCTATGGGTTAATTTACTCGCCGAGCCCTTCGTCGCAAGTGACGGGTTCGACGAGAACGATGACCGGTGCTTGGGGTACCTAAAAGCTGTTAGTGGATCGGGAGGACCCGAAATTACGAGTCTTGGGCGACGTCGAGTATTTACCATTCGGTCCGCAGGATCGAGAATGTAGTTACCGACGGCCACGATGAGTGGTTTCTCGTGTCGTGCTGCTCTATCGAAATGGGTTACTGGAAATGGTATCTTGACATACATAGTTAAAGAAAAAAAAAACTTAATCATGTTTACCCTCATTATTAATCTATTAATTTCTTATGAATCAAGTTATTTGAGTTAGAACTCCGAACATCCAAACTCTATGAAAACATTTTATATTATTTTCTGAGAACAAGTCAAATTAGCAGAAGAAAAATATGGTTCCAAATCCCTTCAATTGCTATGCCTACTTATTAAAACACGTCAAACTTCAACACATGATCCTCTTTCATCATTGATCAATCAATTCAGAAGGCTTCTAAATGGAAGCCTTCTGAATTGCCCCCAAATGGGGGGCAGCAATTGTACTGTAAAAACTGAGACCTTAGAACTTATATCTCAAGGTAAGTGGCGCATGAAGGTAGATGTCTGTAGGCTCCGGTAACCACTTAAAGCCAGGCGGGACATTAGCTCATCCACCTATTTAAGCACTAAAAAAAACAAAAGTCAAGTAATGTATTACAACAATAATTTGAAAGTGGTAATTTTGTAAACATCTCATTAAATTTATTAAATTATTACTTACTTACTATTTTTATATATTTAATAGTTTATTGATTAATTTTATTCATTGCACCTTAATTTCAATTATTTAAGAAAAAATAGTAAAACTTAAAAGTTTAATAGGATAATGAAATACAAGTTTTTTTTTTATAAGAGATGGATTACACTATTCAATATTGTTCTGTTGATATAGAAAAAAGAGCAGCTTTATCAACAACAACAACTCCAAACAGCATTGTTATTGTTGTGATAATTATCATTTGACATTTGGTATCACTTGATAATTATCCAATAATTTGGGACGGTTCCTTTATTTTTCCCAAATCTTAAATAGCAATTTAATATTAATAAATATTTAAAGTAGTACCTTAAAAATTCAATACAAAACACATACAAGTTTCCTAGACCCAATAAATTACATAACAAAAAAATTTAATTTGCCAATGCTGTGTTTGACACTACAAAAAAGTGATATGCAGAGTCATCTTACATAGGTACTAGAAGATTCAAACAGATGCAAGAATTTATATCCCAATGTTAAACAACTTATTATAAAGTAACAAACACTTATAAAATAAAACAAAATCTTAACTGACAATGAATTTAAACTTAGAACTTTATCACAAAACATTTGTAAATTACAAATATGAAATTTAAATTAGGGTAAGCTGGCTTTAAGCTTGGCCTACAGTAAATTTGTAGGTTTTAAAAAATACATTTGTATGTAAACTTACCTTTCAAAGTCATTATCATGTATGCCTTAACATTAGCTGGGGTAAGTACAATAGTATTGTCCTTTATTATTATTTCTAAGTCTGTATCCATAAAGTCAAACACCAGCGACACATTTGATTTCTGTCCGAATACATCTGCAAAGCCAATAATTGTAGGTTAAGAATTTTTAAGATATTAAAGTAAATAGTAATTTTATAATAGTTTTATTTTGAGTTTGTCATCTCAATGTGTATACTACTGTCCACTTTAAGTGTTCTAAATCTCAATCGTATTACTACCTTTCAACTACCTACCATTCAAAGAAGAACACATAATGGCCGAAATAGACAACAGTTGAACATATGAGGCCTGATGAATGACATTTAATGATGGCCGTATTCTGGTTGAATACTTAGAGAATGCAGCTCCTCTTTTTCTGGTGATTAGTCACCTATTACAACACCCAAAGCTCACTTCTAGGGTGGTATTATTCTGAACTAATAGTTCACGACTGTAGGTTAGGAAATTGTATCTTCCTCGCTGCTTGATTTTGACTATTTAAATAAAATGGGTGTAAATAAATGATGTTTACTTTCTAAGCTACATCCTGTCATCTTTACAATTAATCAGATTAAAATTGAAGAAGATAAGCTATCTACGATCTCATACAATCCTTCCTACAATACATACCCAATAATCCAATTAGATTTATATGCTGCAGTTCCTGTAACAGTTTAATTTCTCTAAGAGCAGTTCTATTAATTCCGTCTTGAGCTTCGAGACGTGATCCTATCTTAATTTTCTTCACAGCAACAATTTTGTCTGTTTTTGCATCCTTTGCTTTGTACACAGTTGCAAACTGAAATTTGTGGTGGATTGTATTAGTTTAGTAGTTTTATTTTGAGGTTATAAATGACCTAGTATGTATTAATAGTCTTTATCATTGCTACCTACTAAACTCCTTATTTTATTTACCTGTCCTTCGCCCAAAAAGTCAATTTTTTCATATCGTAAAGTTGGTTCTTCCATGATCAAATAATTATTAATTCCACGTTCATACAATTTTAAAAGCAAAATTATTCATTGTTTACCACACCCTGTGAAGTAGAAATAGTTTAAATTATAATATTGATAGGATATTGTATGAAGCATTCGGAAATTTATTATTATTTCTTCTAAAGAACTGCACAGGTACTGTCAAGAATGAGTGGTTTGATTTGAATATTTTGAATTTTTAAATTGTCATAACTTTTTTTTATTTAAGGCCTGGATTGTAGTCTTTAAAGTCAATGCTGTTTTCTCTCGTTGTTTTTCAATATGGCAATCGGCTTCTTATGATAGCCTTGCTACCAGCGTCAACCTTACTATTGGCTGTCTCAAGGTTTCATACTGCAGTGTTGGCTCTTCAATTATTAGTAATGAATTACTTTTTAGTATTTTTTTCAAATTTCGTGAGAAGAAGACATAATTAAAGATACAGATGAACCTGACTAATACTATAAACGAAAATACACATATAAACGAATATACACGAAAACTATAAAAAATAGGAAACGTCGAAAATAATATTATTAAATTAAAAAAGGGTGCGTGTACTTATGTACGCGCGTAAGAAGTTATACTTTATTTTTATAAAATTTATTTCTTTTTTTTTATTATTTAAATTTTAAACAATTTGAAAAAAAAACGATTAAACAACATCCTCAAACACGCTTATTGGACATCCCTTTTCTTGACATGGTATAAATTCGGTAATTCTCGGTACGGTTCGGAAAGTTCACCTGCGACTATATTCAGACTCACCAAGTTACGTTGATCGTATTGTAATGAGCGATTTAGTGGGCAACTTCATTCTGTTAATTTTGTGTCACGGTGCGCGCGCATCGTAAAATTTCACTCTCATCAATTCTTCATAACGCGCCTAAAGAAGTATAACTTCAAAAACACGCTTAAATAGCAAACCGAATTAATAATCATATTCAGCATTTTTTATCCTGTTGATGCTGGTCAAGATATTAAAGCGAAGATAAAAAATCTTGTATTGTAATCGGTCCTCAATGCGTGTACAAATTTTCATGTTAGGCCGATGTCTCGAAGATGATGAAAATTAATTAGATTAAAGATTCCGTTACATACGAACAAATAACCGTTACCAAGCTAACAAAAGAGTAGAGAAGTTTATTTGTCTGAAATTTGCTAAAGACTGCTCGAGCGCACCCATTAGGACTCAGCTAAGACCATAAGAGTAGCTGTTTTTCGGGTGAATCTACCACTGAATTGGCATCGCAACTGGCATCTTATTAGGTACTGGACCTAATAAGATCCAGCGGGAAATGCAGCAGTTCAAGGGCCACGGGCAATTTTTCGAATATAGTGAATTGCGCTTTGGCTATTGTCATCAGTAGCAATAGCTTCTTTTTTTTATTTATTACCCTTGTAGGCAGACGAGCATACGGCCCACCGGATGGTGAGTGGTTACCGTCGCCCATGGATTTCAGCAATACCAGAGGCAGAGCCAAGCCGCTACCTACCGCAAAGGGTCACATAACAATAATTCTATTTCTTCAGACATTTCTGTATCAATTCAATAAAAATAATTCAAGTTCTTCAAATGGACATTTCTGTATCAATTTAGAAAACACACTAACTATAGACATACAAAGGTTAGACGAAAATGGCCAGCTTCAGTAAAACGGCAGTTGCAGTTAAAACTTATCAGATGCCAGCTTCGTGCAATCCACTTATGGATATATAACCAAAGCTTACTAGCAATCTACGCTAGGCGTCATTACAAATGGCGCCTTAGAAACAAATCAATACTTCATAATTATCAAAGTTAAATCCTAGTTTATTTAAGACCTCATAAGTCTTCTACTTTTTTTACTTTGTTGAGGGAGAATGGAATAGAGAATAAAAGAACTTGTAAGCTTGACTATGTATATTTTTTATTTTTTTAAAACAGATTGTATGTGAAATTACATTCCTCCTCGTAGACGTAACACTAAATGGAGTGTAGATTCCTTTTGAATATTGTAGTCTGACAAGGTGCGTCCGTCTTCCAGCTGCTTGCCTGCAAAGATGAGACGCTGTTGATCAGGAGGAATTCCTTCTTTGTCTTGGATCTTCGCCTTCACGTTCTCAATTGTGTCCGAAGCTTCTACTTCCAAAGTGATGGTCTTTCCGGTCAGAGTTTTCACGAAGATCTGCATGCCTCCACGAAGACGCAGTACAAGATGGAGTGTGGATTCTTTTTGAATGTTGTAGTCTGACAACGTGCGTCCGTCTTCCAGCTGCTTGCCAGCAAAGATGAGACGCTGTTGATCAGGAGGAATTCCTTCCTTGTCTTGGATCTTCGCCTTCACATTCTCAATTGTGTCCGAAGCTTCTACTTCCAAAGTGATGGTCTTTCCGGTCAGAGTTTTCACGAAGATCTGCATGCCTCCACGAAGACGCAGTACAAGATGGAGTGTGGATTCTTTTTGAATGTTGTAGTCTGACAAGGTGCGTCCGTCTTCCAGCTGCTTGCCAGCAAAGATGAGNATTTGAATATAATCGTCTCCTTCAAAGAATACGGTTCAAAACCTGCATTAAATAAAGGTTAATAGTTAACCTGTTATTTATCTAAGATGTCGTTCCGAAGAGTTTTGTGACTGCCAATGGAATACAAAGTCAATAATTCGTTTTTCTGATTTACCAATAATTGTCCAAAAGTCACATTGCCGGCTTTGATAATAGTCGACTCATATATATATATTAATTACTAGCGACCCGCCCTCGCTTCGCTTCGGAAACATTAAAACACACATGAAACCAAAAAATAAAATAAAAAAAAATATTAAAAAAAGTAGCCTATGTTCATCAGGGACAATGTCGGCTTCTAATGGAAAAAGAATTTTTCAAATCGGTCCAGTAGTTTCGGAGCCTATTCGAAACAAACAAACAAACAAATCTTTCCTCTTTATAATATTAGTATAGAAAAGTTAAGGTGCATTTTTCTTGTCGTCCGAACGATGTTGACTTTGCGGATTAACTTTGAATGCCCGTCTCGTTTGGCGCAGGGAGTGGCTGACGCCGGCGGCCCTGCAGCAGTCGTTGGCAGCGCACTCGCCATCCTCCTCTTCGCAGCACTCTCCCTAACAACGTGCGTATCGTGGTGGCACATTAGCGACCCCTGGTTGCGGGTCTCGTGCTTACGTCACAGGCACAGGGATCTGTGGGCTTAGTACGAGTCTTTTAACGTTCTCGATAGCGTAAAAGTTAACGCCAATTTGTGTGCAGTTGGAACAGCGCCCCTAGCGGCAAATGAAGGCAAACGTTCTGGTGGTAGGACCTCTAGTGAGTTCGCACGGGTAGGTACCACCGCCCCGCCTATTTCTGCCGTGAAGCAGTAATGCGTTTCGGTTTGAAGGGCGGGGCAGCCGTTGTAACCATACTGAGACCTTAGAACTTATATCTCAAGGTGGTGGCGCATTTACGTTGTAGATGTCTATGGGCTCTAACACTTAACACCAGGTGGGCTGTGAGATCGTCCACCGATCTAAGCAATAAAAAAAAACCATACAAATCTGAGTTAACTTTAACGCTATCGAGAACGTTAAAAAAATCACATTAAAAACATTAACAAGTGATTCACGGATGTCGAATATCTTACATAAAGACACAAACCCTGTGATTTAAAAGTTCATACAGTAACCAATGAGCCAACGAAACGATTGATTTTGAAGTAAAACTTCTTTACGCATCCTTGACTGGTGAATGCGTAGCGAGAGCGTTACGAAAATTGTGATCGGGCGAGGCGAACGGAAGCTTAGAGGGAGAAGGAGATATAAGTTAATGAAGATAGAAAGAGAGAGCTACGTTTCGTATATTACTGCAGGGACAAGAGAGATAGATGCCAGCACATATTTTCTGTCTCTATTTCTCTTGTTGCCAGTTAAGTTTCGTATATCTAAGACACAATGCAGGCCTATTGTTTGTATCACGTTGTGACAGCGAGCCGCGGCCTTTTTATCTCCACTGTCAGTTTAATTAATATATTGTAATATTGTTTAGATAGAATTCGAAATCTATGTCATATAAATTTAAAAGTTATTTATATTGTGGAGTAAATAAATATAATTATTATTATTATTAGTAGTATAGCGCGCGCAATTTTGCTTTCTCTCTTCCTCTCAAATTTATTCAAATTCATTTCTCATTCAAAAATATTAATTTATTGTTGAAAACCATAATAAATTTAAATATTTGCTGAAAATTTATATATTATTATCATACATACATATGGATGGAGCTAAAGAAGTTTTACTTCAGTCGTGGTCTAAAGGACACTATATATTTTTGTTTGTGACTGATTTCATATTCTTTTTTTTCCTCCGCAGGGGATCTTCTGCTCCAGTGCAGATGACCGTATTGTGTTGTGCGAACTTATTAATAGATCTAAATAAATAATAGTAAATCGGTTTGGCGCATTGTCGAATAAAATTGACTTATACGAATCGTATCGTGTAAATTGACCCGTGATTTCGGCCTAATACAAAAAAAAAACATGTTGATTAGATAATGTTATCTCGTTCTCGTATACTAAGTGTGAGCAGGTGGGAGTGTTATGATGTTGCGATTACTTACGCGTGTTCGCCAAAGAATGTTAAGAGTATCTGATTCACGAATGTATGTATGTATGTAATTTGCTCATATTTGGATTTAATAAATAAGTAAAATAAAAGTAATGTTTAAAGTATTTACGTCATCAAAATGTGTCGTACAGTATCGTTGGCTGAATTTAATGATGTCGTTAAAAGAAATTTACAACGCACGATTTTATATACTATAAACATACAGTATAGGTTGAGATTTATGTGTTTATAATTTATTTTCATAAGAAAACTTATTGTACAGATTTTTTCTACGGTTTTCATAAATCGTAGGCATAATTAAAACTTTTTTTTATTCTACCTAAGCTGATAGCCTTGAGAGGCTATATCAGCGTAACCTTAACTAGTAGGTGAGCTCACGGGGCTCAAACCGGAGTGATGCTAACACTGACCCTAGCAAGAGCAGTGCTTCGCAGAATCTACCACCGGATCGGAAACGCGACCCACTGAGAAGATCCGGCGAGAAATTCAGTGGGCTGTGTCTATGGGAAATATCTTTACGATGTCGTTGTGTGATGTGTTACGAAATGTCGACCGAAGCGTATCCAGACATTAGTGTACCTAGTGCGAGCTTTTTAACTTCTTGATCGCGTTAAAAGTAACTCAAATTTGTATGGAGTTGGAACAGCGCCCCTAGTGGCCAAACGAAGAAAAGCTGTTCGTTTTACGCAATCCAGAAGTTAAAAAAAGCTCGTACTAAGCTTAGTAAGCACACAGGGAAACAAAACGAGCGCGTAAAACACAAATACCCACAAATAAATCTTATAATAAAATCGGCTAGTGTAAATAGCTTTTTATTAAAATTAAAGCATGTCGTATTTCTGAGTTTTTTTTTTTCTCGTGTCACCATTAAATTGAACCAGCGTTATACAGTATGTTACTTTTTCTAAAGTAGTTAACAAAAATAGACAGGACTAAACATCCGTCTATTATTATATACTATTGTAACAACTATATATATAATGTTAAAGTTTTATCTATAATAAAGTTGGAATGTTCATTGATACGTATAATAAATATGTAGTTTTTAGTCCGTCCGTTTGTCACTTATATGATCGTTACGATATTTGTGGTATGTTTTTGTACAGAAAATATTTAAAGAGAAAACAAAATTAAAACTTTATATCTGTTATTGATGGACGATATATATAAGGGGGGTGAAAAAAAATCAAACTACCCGCGAATTATTTTTATTTTTATTATTCTCAAAAAAAATGTATTTTAAATTGACGTTTCGCTTTTTACGTCTCTGACGGTAAGGCCATGCACGCATCGCTATTGATGGGAGGGCGGGTGGTCCCGCACGGGTAGGTACAACCTCCCTGCCTATCTCAAACCAAAACCAATTGACCCGCGAGATTGTGTTTCCATTACCAGCAATAAAAATGTGACTAATATATCGAGAGGTGAAAAGGTATTTGGTTGAAGCGACATTTTTGCAACTTGCCATGAGAGAGCCATTTAAAGTTTAAAATTTTAGAAAAAATATCGTAACAAAAAAAACTTCATCAGTTATTTCAATGGGATAAATTTAATTGAAGTTCAATTAAAAAAATCGAACTGTTGATGCTAATACCAAATAAAACGCACCTTTAATTACAATGAAAAATATGGCGTGTCAAGCGAAATGTTGCCTGAACCAAATCGCGCGTTTCCGTTTTTAATAAAAAAAAATCAATATCGGAAATTGTAATTCTTATTATTTAACATAGTATATCTTGACAATGCGCCAACAATAATTATAACAGACATATTTCAGTTAGGAAAATATAATAATGAAGATTCAGTAGCAAATTTTAAACATTTTTTAAATTATTATTGCGCAAAAGACATGAGTCTGATCAACTATTTTCTCTATCGGGTACTGTAAATAAATATATTAAAATAATAGTTTTTTTGTTTTTGTAATTTGAATATACATATATGCATATATTGAAAACAGATTTGAAGATTGAATCACGCCATATGAACTTAAAAACGGGACCAATCCCGAAGTACGACATTTTAAACAAAAAAAATATATAAAAATCTGTCTACAAATGACTTAGAAATCTGGAGATCTTGTATCTTATTAAAAATACCCTTTTTTTAAAGTTCCAGAGCCAAATTCGATAATGAAAGCTTCGGTAATGTTGATTGATGCTTGATTTGAAATATTAGGTCTTGGACTTTTCATAGTGTTTTTCTACTTTCAATGTAGTTACACTAAAAGGGATAGAGACGCTAGGATCATAGAAAAATAATAATAAAAATTATTATTTGTATTTTATTATTATTCTATTAACTTAATTAAAAAAAAAATTCTGGATATAAAATAAAGTTGTTGTTTAAAATAGTTTTTTTTTTAAATATAATTCACCGTTCACTAGTACGCAATGTAAAGCATGCGAAACTGGGGATTGGAGCATCAATGTACTCGTTATTTTAACCTACCGAACCTTAACTTAACGCATGTAAATATTCTAGTCGTAAAATGAAAATGACATGTCTCAAATGAAATTTAGAGTTAAACAAAGAAATCTATTTACTTGCAAACTGAATTATTTACATTGTTAAATAACACTGGCAATAGTTGGTAAGAAAATACCAAAAAAAACAAACAACAGTTTTAACTAAAACAGTGCCTTTGAAATAGCATCGATATAAATTAAATCTAATTGAAATATGTCGATAACGTTTATCGATAAGTACAGTTTATTGACAAGAATGTGCCACTCTATGCTACGGTGTTGTTTTAATTACGATAATTTTTTTACAGATTATATTTTAGTTTTAGTGTAATTAATGTTGGCATATTAAATATGTCTTTGGGTAGAAATTACAAAAAAAATGCCAGAAGCTTACAATATGTTTGAATTTTTTTGAAAACAATCCTAAATTAA